TGTCAACTTCCATTCTACCCTCATATAGCTAAGCTTGGGTTGGATTGGATGTTAAATCGGGTTATGATGCTGAGCACTTTATGCCCTCGAAGCTAAGCTTCACTTGTCAAGACCACCTGGTTGTTTGGCTGCTCCTTGCGCCACATCAGGCTGGTCATGGAATCAACCGTCACTGACCGTGTCGTGACACATCGGTCAAGAAATCAACGGCAGGTTGTTTTCCTCAGTTCGTTAATTAAACGGATCCATTTGCATTGATGTACAGATTTTCCAAGTCAGGAGGGGGGAGTTGAAGAATTGCGAACAACCTCCATGTAAAGTAATGTTACCTGACTATGCAACTTCTGTGTCATGAATCACGCCAACTTCATTTGGCTCAAGAATGAAAAGAGGCGCACTGAGTCGTGCTTCTGCGTTCAGGGTCGGGGTTTCCCTTCCCTTTCCTCCTTGTTCCTACCCTAACATAGTTGCTTCTGTGTTTGGGGTCGGAATAACTTTTGAGTTGCTATAACACACAGGGATGAAACATGACCATGCTTGTTTTCCGGAGCCTCTTTATGCTTCAACACTTTGCGACTCACATGGCGTCGCAGCAAGACGGGGACGACATCAGCTCTTGGGGATCCGACGAACTTGAGGCATTCCTACAAAAGGATACACCTCACAATCACGACTCACCAAGCACTACTCTTGCAGTCAACACAGCGGACACATTTACAACATCCACCTTGACAGAGAAGACAACAAATGTGCAGGCGGGCAACCGGTCATCCAGCCGCAATCCACCTACACAACACAAGCTCGACAGCCACAAGCACAAGAAGAAGAAGGAGAAAGGACGCAGAAAATCACGTGCCACAGCGTCCCCAACATCACCAACATCGAAACAGCACCACAAGCACCAGAAGAAAACACGGCGAAGAAAGGGACGATCGTCACATTCAACCTCCTCAGCGTCACCTACAGCATCTACACCTGCAGCCGCCGCCCGCTACCACTCGCCATCTCGTGAGCCTTGGTCATCGGATTCTATTGCTCCCTATGATGTAGTGCACCCTACAGTGATGTACAAACGGTCTAAGACCGCATGTGCGAAGATGCTGGTGAGAGCCGGATACAGATGCCATTGTCATTTCAAATTGCTGAATGAATGTCCTTTTAAGTTGAAGTAGTCGCTTGATAGTTGTCTCGTCTTTGATTGCCTGCAGAAACAAAGCATGCTTCTGCACGCTGTTGATATCTGTACACCAGACCAGGGATGTTGGACCTATGCGCATGAGTGAATCGAATCTGCACACACCAGCCACTACTCCTATGTTTGTCCGCTTTGACACACCATTACAACACTTTCACACCCTCACACTTGATTGTTAGCAAGAGTGTTGCAAGCAAGCCATGCCAAAGCGAAAAGCCGCCGATGCTGGCCTACCATGGTACTCTATGCGGAGTCAGTGCTTTCGGATGACAGTGGAAATACCACCTGACAGGATCACCAGGGACAAACACATGTCTCTACATGTGGTACTTTGTCTCGGCGACAACGTACTACAAGCGAGAAAAATCTTCTCATATCGCATCAAGGAGATTACGGGCAGAGTACCAGAAATCACTGCATTCTTCTTTGAGCAAAATCGACGACGACTACATGATTGGGATCCAGTGACAACTGTTGCAACATTGAAGCCGGTGCTTTTTGTTCGCACAATTTCAGACCAGGAAGTGAGGCAGCAGAGATAAAAAGCAAGGTCCGCAGCATCGCCTATTGAGCTCAGTGCATGTCCAAAACACCAATACAGCAGAAACAATCACGCCCCAACTGGGGCTGTGTGTGTGTGAACCTCCCTAGCACATGGGAGCAGAGGGTCACTCCTACTTCTGCTGAATTTATTTTGAATCTCTTTTCACGGAACCATATTTGAATTTGCAGGGGGCATGCGGCCATTACGCAAACGCATGCCAACGAAGCTATGCGTAATGGTGGATACCAGACCTGATCAGTCTGGCGTACCTGCACAAAATGTGCTGGGGTCCCTGAGCCAGCAAGATTGGAGGGCCCCTGTGCCAAGATTAGATTTTCAGTTGCCACACTTGTCGGTTGAATTGACAGCAAGCAAGTACAACATGCCTCTCTTCTTCCTCTTGCACTCGTACTCTTGGCCGAATCAGTCAGTGTGTGTGTGTGTGTGAACCTCCCTAGCACATGGGAGCAGAGGGTCACTCCTACTTCTGCTGAATTTATTTTAAATCTCTTTTCACGGAACCATATTTGAGTTTGCAGGGGAGTGTGGCACTTGCGCCCTACCACACTCAACGAAGCTGTGGATGCAAGTGGGAAGCGGGACCTGATCAGTCCTGTGTACCTGCACGGCAGCCCCCTGTGGTGCCAGGATTAGTTCAAGGACAGGCCCCTTGTGGTGTCCAGATTAGACAAACAATTTATGCTTGTACGTTTGCCGCAATCTGACAAACACATGCAACAAGAACAACATGCCTCTCTTTTTCCTCTTGCACTCGTACTCTTGGCCGAATCAGTCAGTGTGTGTTCTCCGTGCGTGGTTTCTGCGGAAGTAAGATCCTGTGGACGAAGTTCTTCGTTCGGTCTGTGGAAAAATTCGTCAGTGGTTCCGTCTAAAGAATTTATTTTGCCTTGTAAGCCGACACACCCCTGTGCGGTCTTCTTTTCGCCAAGTTTGCGCAGCAAAGTTCCCACCTTTCCCCGTGCGACAGCCAACCGATCCGTAAACCAACCTCTTTTGTGCTTCTTCCACAAACGTCTACAGCAGAGGCCAGGTATCCGGTATCCTGTATTGCAAGGCAGCAATGTTGTAACAGTGGCGGGAAGGTTGTGTGTTCTTCCGTGCGTGGTTTCTGCGGCAGCAAGATCCTGTGGACGACGTTCTTCGTTTTGTCTGCGGAAAAAAATCGTCAATGGTTCCGTGTAAAGGGGAACTTGTGTGTTTCTCCGTGCGTGGTTTCTGCGGCAGCAAGATCCTGTGGACGACGTTCTTCGTTTTGTCGGCGGAAAAATCGTCAACGGTTTCGTGTAAAAAAAGATTTTTGTTTGCGTTGTAAGCCGACAAACCCCTTTGCGTTTCTTTTTGCCAAGTTCGCGCGGCAAAGTTCCTACCTTTTCCCGTGTGGCAGCCAACCGATCTGTTTACCAACTTGTTTGGCGCTTCTTCCACAGACGTCTACAGCAGAGGCCACATATCCTGTCTCGCAAAACGGCAACGTTGTGTGTTTTTTCCGCGGCAGCAAGATCCTGTGGATCTTCGTTCGGTCTGCGGACAAAACCGTGAATGGTTCCGTGTAAGGAAAGATTTGTGTTTGCGATGTAAGCCGACAAACCCCTTTGCATTTCTTTTTGCCAAGTTCGCGCGGCAAAGTTCCTACCTTTTCCCGTGTGGCAGCCAACCGATCTGTATACCAACTTGTTTCGCGCTTCTTCCACAGGCGTCTACAGCAGAGGCCACATATCCTGTCTTGCAAAACGGCACTGTTGCGTGTTTTTCCCGTGCGTGGTTGCGGCGGCAGCAAGATCCTGTGGATCTTCGTTCGGTCTGCGGACAAAACCGTGAATGGTTCCGTGTAAAGAAAGATTTGAGATTTGTGTTTGCGATGTAAGCCGACAAACCCCTTTGCATTTCTTTTTGCCAAGTTCGCGCGGCAAAGTTCCTACCTTTTCCCGTGTGGCAGCCAACCGATCTGTATACCAACCTGTTTTGCGCTTCTTCCACAGACGTCTACAGCAGAGGCCACATATCCTGTCTTGCAAAACGGCAGTGTTGTGTGTGTTTTTGTCCGTGCGTGGTTTCTGCGGTAGCTAGATTCTATGGATCTTCGTTCGGTCTGCGGAAAAAGTCGTGAATGGTTCCGTGTAAAGAAAGATTTTTGTTTTGTGTTGTAAGCCGACGCACACCTGTGCGCGCTTCTTTTCGCCAAAATTGTGTGGCAAAGTTCAATTTTTTTCCCGTGCGACATCCAACCGATCCATATAGCAACCTCTGTTGTGCTTCTTCCTCCAATGTCTACAGCGGAGGCAAGGAATCCTGTTTTGCAAAACGGTAATGTTATGAAAATTGTGGAGAAGTTGCGTTTTTTCTTCGTGCGGTTCCTGCGGCAACAAAATCCTGCGGACAATGCTCTTCGTTCGGTTAGCAGAGAAAACGTGAATGGTTCCGTGTTAAGAGAGCTTTTTGTTTGCCTTGTAAGCCGACAAATCCTTTCCTACCTTTCTTGCCAAACATGCACGGCAAAGTTCTCGTTTTCTTCCCGTCCGACAGCCAACCGAAGCGAACACCAAGCTCTTTTGCAGTTCGTCCGCGAACGTTTGCAGCAGAGGCCAGGTATCCTGTTTTGCAAAGGCGGCAACAATGTGGCAGTTGCGGGAGAAATGTGCATGTTTTCCGTGCATGGTGCTACTGTGAACGATGCTCCCTGGACCCTCCCAAAAAACCTTCCCACATGCTTGAGTCCCGCCACCCACTCTTCTTTCGCAGAAATATATCGCCCAATGCCTAATTTTTCTTCGCAAAATCTGCTGGCAAAGCCAGATTGGGATCCAACACATTCCAACTTGAACCGGTATGATTCGATGTATTCTGTTTGTGGTCTTCGCTGGTGTAATTATATATATATATATTTATATATACATCATATGTATATAATAGGTATACCGGTAATCCCTCCCCCTGGGACCCATCTCGGCCATGAATTTGCTCCTGCGCATCCCTTCCTCGCACAAGGTGCGAGACGACAACCTCGTACATACCGATATGATATGCATATATATATATATACACATGTATATATGTATATATGTATATATGTATATATGTATATATGTATATATGTATATATGTATATATGTATACACACACATATGGTATTCGTATTCGTTACCTTCATCCGCAACCCAGCCGCGGGTCATACTACAGTGCGAAAAGTAGGTTCCAGATCATTAGGAAAGTCGACCAGATCACCTTGAACCGTTTTCGCAGGAGTGTCGGCTCCCACATAACTGGGTATGTGGACTACTTGATGAGATCGAGCAGATGGAGCCTGTGAAGATGCAGATAGATGCAGCAAAGGCAGCGCTGTCTGCACTGAAGCAAAGCTGGCTGAGAAGTTTGGGCTCTGCTGCTTTTGATGTACCTGTTGACGACGAGACAAAGCATTCACACGCTGAGTCCCCTGGTGCGCAGGCTGCAACAGCTACACAAGATGCTGCAGCAATCTCCGCACTTCGGTTGCAAATCCCTTGCAGCGCATGTTGTATCATGGCGTTTGGCTTGATGTTGTGAGTAGGACAGAGCATGCTTCGTAGCACGGAGCCACTTCGACAGTAATCGCTGCATGCAGGAAGACATTGGCAATCAGAAACATGAAACTCAGCATGCTCCGAGAGCATCTTTCTTTGCCCTGAAGTATGAGACTTCCACTGTCCACGCGGCATTTCGAGTCAGAATCCCATGCAGGAGTTGGCGAGCCTGACAGCTGTGGCTGGCGTCAAGCTCCTAGAGTTCTTGCAATGCTGCGCAGGGTTCGGACTGAGAGTCGGTTCATACTGCTCAGGCCAAAGACCTGGACTTTGCAGTCTGGGTTCCCGGCCTCCAGGATATCACGTTTTCGAAAAGTTGGCTCTGTCTTTCACGTTTCGTCTCTGATCGGAATGCCAGGTGGAGTGCAGAAGCTGCGCAGCTACGCTGAGCATATCTTGGTGATGGGACTGGCAAACAGCCGCAGATGGAGTCAACTACGGAATTCAGGCTCACAGTCCCGGGCTGAGTTCGGCAGAGCACTCAACACTTCGTAGTGCGCTTGCATGGCCAAGGTGGGAAATTTGAGTACGCAACTGGAATGCACAAAAGCCGAGCTCCACAACCAAAAGCGCAACCTGTCTCGTCATCCAGGCCGGCTTCCCGCAAATAGAGTGCCCCTCGCGATGCCACTTAGACAGACTTCTGCCATGTTATATCCATCCAGTCCTCGGAGAGTCACCTGGCTCTTGCCGAGTGCACGCGCCGAGAGCTGCCAACATCATTCGGAAGCAAAGGGCCTCAATCCGTGCAGCAAAATGCCCCGTTCTATGGCGAGGTGGGAGGCAACTTGTTCAGGTGCTTTGTTGGGTTCCACACCATGGTCTCCACGAATGTCCTGAATTCAGAAAGTGTCTCGGCTCTCCAGTGGGACCATGGTCTGCCTTAGCCAGGAAGTCAATGGCGTCGTTGAAGGGCCCTATTGCAGTCGACATGTTTTTTTGCGTATTGGCTAGTGCGGCTAGGTGTTTCTTTGACTCCGACAGTTCAAGCTCGAAGTTGGTCTCACAGATCTTTGGCAAGTCTTGAATGATGCCGGCCCTTCTCAACAAGCTGAGGCTACACCACTCGCGACCGTGCAGCGCAGGACCGCCCTAAGTGAGATGACATGACATGTTGCTGGATCTGGCCACGAGCATGGGTGTATGGCGTTTGTAAAGGCATTCGCAGTGTTCTGCTGGAAATGGTTCGAGAAGGCGCTTGCAGAACTTGCCACAAGAAAGAACATGTACAGTATTGCATCCGTATAGTGGAAGGGGCTAATGGCCGTGCCAGCAAGAAATGGACTATCCAAAAACAAGGATCCTTGACGAGACTTGCATTCGCTCAGTCACCACCTCGTTTTTCCAGCGCTGTGCAGATCCCAGCAACGGTGCCATCTTCCAGTGTGCTGACAATCAAGAATCAAGTGACCTTGCAGGGACTGCCAGCAGTCTTAGCCATCCAATCAATCGTCTAGGGGTAGGTTCCGTTGGCACGATTGAAATGGGTGAACTTTGCACTCGTTTGTTTGCTTCCTGTTGCTTTCTGCAAGCATCCGTAAGACCACAATGGACAGAATCACCACAGTGTCCGTAAATTTTTGAAGCCAATCTGGGTCAGGGGAGACAAGTTGCAGTGTCAACGCTCGCTAGTCATGTTGAAGTCTACGAGATGCTGGTTGGTGTTTGCACAAGAGCGCAACCTTGCTTCAGTTTGTGCGAGGTCTGTAAGTTCTGGTGGTGAGGCATGCAAGCGGAATTCTAGGTTCTAGGTTCAGTGCATCCACAGAACAGATGGATCCGACGCGTGGCTCTTCCGACGTGAATCCTCTCCGGCTGCCCCGACCAATTGTCGGCGAGCGCCCAGCACCGACGACTCCAATCCCAAAGCGAAGCCCGAAGACTCCCGCTGGAAAGAAGAGGCCCCCACCAGGACAGACTCCAAGCCCTTCACTTTTCTTCGATCTCAAATTGGAGAAGAAAGGCGACAAGGAAGCAGTCAATGCGTTCGCACAGTGCCGCTTTGAATATGGCAGCTTTCTCTGGTTTCTGGACCTGTAATATGACCAGTAGGTAAGCAGGCTGACGCTTTCCCTGGTAACTGAGGGCCTTGACTGGGGCGTCCGATCTGACAGACCACGTCATCTATACCGTCACAGAGATCGACGGCGCGTTCAGATGCTCTCTGCGCATTCCTGCCTGGAGCAACGAAGCATTTGAAGGGGAGGCGGGTACCATTGGAGCTGTGCACATGTCCCCGCTGCACGAACGCTGATAGCCATCAGACCAAGCCTGAGGTGCAGCCAAGTCGGAAGGAAGCGGAGCAGTCCGCCGCCCACGCCTTCAAGATGGATTGGCGCGTGGTGCAGCATGCCAAAAATTTTCCAAAGGGCAGGAAACGACTGGAGAACGACGAATTCAAGGAGAGGATCAGACAGGAGCGTCGCCTTGCTCGTGAAGCGAGCATGGCGAAACATGCCAGGAGCCGGTAGAGTTTTGCAACGTTGCAAGGTTTGAGCTGCGTTGGTCCGGAGACCATGCTAAGTGTTTGCTTGGTACCATAGCCGGTTACATCATCATTGACACCCTCAGCAGTTGGAGTGCTATCTTGATGATTCTCTCTGGGAGTAATTTTTCGATGCTTCAATACAGACATACCTTGCACCGTAGCCGGCGAGTTCTGACCCTGCTGCACGGCGCTCCCCCCGATGCGGGAGAGAGCTTTCTGCTTGGGCCGCTTGAGCCCACCCTGAAGTCACAGCAGGGATTCGAGCAAGTGCCCTCTCAGCAGAAAAAGTTGACCGACTAGGTCACTAGGTCCAGCTTCGTTTTACGTGCCCCAAAAGGCTGTTGTCATTCAGCCTTGCCCCCTCTTGGTATTGGCAGGGCCGTGCTGCAAAGGCCTGGTTCTCCAAATAAGCTGAACTGAAGCAGTGTTGGCAGTTTGGAAGCAGATTCCCGTCCCGGCAGTGAGTCGTGCATGGAACAGTGTAGCAGTGGTATCATGTAGGGTAATCTCCCTCTCTCTGTTGAAGGCCTCAACAGTCGGGTTTTTTACTGTATTCTTATGCTCTGAAGGGAGGGGCTTGTCAACCGGCGGTACACGCCAGTCCAAACAGGCTTTGAGCCGGTGTGAGCGAGACTTACGTACTGCTACCTGAGCTTCCGCCGTGATCGAGGAAGTCGTTGCCTCGCCTTCTTCGTCTTCACGCTGGGGCCTCGTGACTCCTCCGTATCTTCTGCTTATTACATATGTCTATATCACATACACAGCTACTCGTAGTAAGACAACTTGTGCTCTTCAAGTAATTCATATGTTTCCATCTTTGCTGTTTGCAGCTAGTCTCTCTTTACCCCCAAAATCCGGAAGACATTGTGCTATGCTTTGCAGGAGCGCCACGTTTCGGATGAGGGAGACGATTTCAGGGCTGTAGGCTTTTACTGCGGTGGTGCCCCAGGATCGAAAACGGCGGTGCACCTTAGAACGAAGGATTGAAGCCGTGCAGTCGGCCTGTGCCTCAGCTTGCCCCGAGTGCTAGAGTTTCCTGACGACAGTGTGCCCGCAAAAACATGCATGAATCGTGTGGTTCCAGAGTCGCAGGAAGTGCTCCATCCAAGGCAAGCCGAAAAGAAGTGAACGCATCTGACCACCCACATGAGAGGGCCCGCAATTCGGCATTGTGGCATAGCGCAGCCTAGACAGCTCAAAGCACGATGGACATCGAATTTCTCCTTGCGTTGCAGGTTTTTCCTGAGATTTTCGCGTTGAATAAAATCAACGCAGGAGGATCCATGTGAGTATAGATCGCCAGAGGCGACAGAAGCAGTAAAGGGACCATGAAAGCCACGCCGTAAGCCAAAACGGGTGGAGGTGGATCCATTGGGGGGACTGCCATGCACATTGACTACATGTACACATGTATGTATGTACTTGATATATGTCTGTATATATATATATATATATATATAATGGCTGCCGCCAATGCCGCCGACCCCGAAACTAGGGACTGGCGTAAGGCAGTTAGTTTTTGCTGTCTGATTGTAGCGCTGCAAGCTGGCGAGACAGCAGCACGAGACAGTGTGCAGCAGGAGCAATAGGGCAGCCTCCTTCGAGCGTCTGCGTGCCGCCAATGTGGGAGAGATCTCTCTCAAGTTTGTTTCGAGATAGAGAGAGGGGGAGGGAGATACAAGGGCGCCCTAATGTCGCAGGAATGGGAGGGAGCGCCATAAGTTACGCAGCCGGTTGAAGAAGGGGAAAACGTGATGTCTGCACCGTCTGAGGAGTCTACTTCATGTGGGCAATGAATGTTATTGGGATGTTCACCGTTATCCCCAACCGTGCCGGTGCCCAACTGTGGAGAGACATTTTTGGGTAGTGCATAACCCACACAAGCTGAGGAGGAAGCAGAGGGAGAAGGCTAGAAAATCTGGGCAAGATTGTTCCTGTTTCTTTGCAAGACAGTGGCCATTCATTCCCTATCCCGCCAATTGGCTTTGTAATTGCCTTCCAGAAGTCGGCGACGCAAAACCTACATGGTACGAACAGGCAGCCTGCACCAATCTTACAAAAAGCGTGACAGAGATGTTGACACGTTCAAGGCGTGTCCATGCGTGGTTGAAGAATAGAAAGCGAAGAAAATGGAACTCTTGTGGGCAGTGAAATGTGTGCAAACTAGCCGACCTCATGTTGTCTTTTCGCTTCTTTGATGAAAGTACCGACAGCTTGACTGGAAGGCCAGTTCATTCATTGTCCTCGGATTCCTTGGCGAGGGACAGTTTGGTGTTGTGCGAGAAGTTCGCGCAACAACAGGAATGAGGCTTCCATGAAGCAACTTGCAAGTCAGAACGTAGCCTGAGACCGTCAGCTTGTGCCAGGTATGCCCTTAAATGCATTGACAAAGATGACAATGCGCTTCGCGAGCTGGCCATCTTGAAGAAGGCTGGGTTTACGGTTTAGGGTCTGGGGTAGTAGTTGGGGTAGCTTCTTGGGGTAGTTTCTTGGGGTAGTTCCTAGCAGTGATGCCTGGCAGCTCGACCACCCCTTCATCGTCAAATTGCACAGCCAGACCATATATCGGCCTTTTGCCCAGCAAGGCAGCTTTGCGTGGGACCGGAAGGAAGGACATGTAGGAGGGCCGAGTGTCAGTGATCTTGCCAAGGTCGAAAATTGGTCTTTTGTTGGAGCTCGTATCAGGGTGCGAACTGATCCATGCACTCGAGCACGTCGGCGTTGATCAGGCGTTGAAATCCTGGATCCTCCATGTTCCATTGATCATTTCTTGCCGGTATGATTGCGCTCGACTATTTCCCACTTTCTAAATTGAACTTTAGACTATCAGACGTGTGCAGCTTTCCATCATGTAGGCGGCTTCCTTCTACGCTGGCTGCCTTGTTCTTGCCCTGGGCTATCTTGCAGACAGAGGTTTGTGCAGCAGCTGCCAAGGCCAAACGGGAATTGCTTGCCCGTGCCAGGCATTTGCCACCTCGACATCAAGGCTGAGAACTGCCGCCTCGATGCGGAGGCTATGGGTGTGTTGTGCGGCCAAACACGGGTGAATCTGCGTCCATGCGAGTTGTGGAGAGGGTTACCTGAAGCTGCTCGATTTTGGCAGCGCTGTGGATGCTCACTGCAAGCAGAGTGGCCTGGTTGTGTGGCGCTTAACACTGACAAATCAGATGTGTTGCGTTGTGTTGTGTTGCGTTGCGCAGGGCACCCCGCGATGCATGGCGCCAGAGATTATCATTGGCTGCGCCCTTGCCCTCAGAATTGGTTTCGTCACTTCCGTATCTTCCGTGTGAGCTTGGTTGCAATGTTTCTGAGGTGCATAGCACCATGTGCGACCTTTGGAGCCTTGGGGTTGTGGTCTACTGGATCGTGGAAGACTTGGCTCTTTGCGAATGACTGTATGATTCTGGGAGCCATGCCAAAACTCGATCAACTAGGTTATCGGAGATTTCCCATTCGGGAAAGACAGCTCCGCCACCAATGAGCAGAACTGCACTCAGCCCTGTTAGGAGTGCAAAAATGCGCAACATGGCTTAGTGTTTAACAGTCTCGGCTCCAGGATTTATCAGGAGGTGCTCGATGCAGATGTCCACTTCCCAGAAAGGTCGGGCCGTCTCAGTTTGACTTCCAAGGTTGAGGGCTGAGGGTTTAGGGCTTAGGGATGTTCAGGGCTTATGGATGTTTAGGGTTTCATGCGTTGTGGTACAAGTAGTAGGGTCATCCTACATCGGTCAGTTTTTTACGCATCGGTTGAGCGTCTACTTGGGGAAACCATGTCTTGAGCTTGGCCACCCCTGAACAACATAATCAGGGAAATCTTGTTGATGACAGCGTCTACATGCAGTTTGGCTGTTTCAGTGGACATCCTGGCGTCGACTAGCGTTGCATAGATTCTACTGTCGTTTGTATTGTTGTTTTCATTTGACTATTGTCCGTGGCAATAAGACGGGAAACGAGTTATTGTGGTTCACAGTGGTTATCAGTGTTGTTCTTACTCCTGTTTGATTGTTGTTCTTGGCAAGACAATGGCAACACAAAGAGAACATTGTTAATGCATTGTATTGTTGGTGTTGTTGTATTGATGCCCTTGTATGACGGTTGTTTTGGCGGCCTTGGCGCGCTGCCACAGCATATACTTCGAGATCTTCATTAAACATGGTGTTTTCCGGTAGCATCATCGTTTATTTGCTGGAGGCGCGTGCTTGCAGATTTCCAATAAACACGATGTTTGCTGGTAGCATCAACCGTGTCCCGCGGGAGCGTCCAGTCTCGGATCGCCACTGAATTTGATGTTTTCTGGTTGCGTCATCTCTTTCCTGCTGGGGCGTCGCGCCCGCGAATTTTTTATCCTTGAAGTAAGAGGGGAGTCGTTAAAGAAAAATCGCTCCAATGTAGCGTTCACTGGGGATTTAGAGGATCGTTTTGTGACGTATGGAGAACGCTGTTTCTTTTGCTTGATGCCTTTTGCGCTTAAACCCCTTTGTGCCCTGGTCTGAATGTTCTGGTCACAGTTGTCGTTGGGACTATGTCTTCCGATTCTTTGCCTTGAGGATTGCACAAGGCATCTCGCCTGAAAGAAAGCATCTCTTGTGGTCGTCTACATGGCGTTTCCCATAATCCCTTCTCATACCTTATGCTCTTCATGAGCATGTACATTACGTTTCCCATGCATGCGCTAGCTGCTGTTTGTTTTGTTAGTCACACCGGGCGCACTTCTCCAATCCGTGTTAGGGTCGCAGGGGCGTCTACATAGCGTTTGCCACATGCCTTTCTCATGCTTCTGTTTGCTTTTTGCTACAGTTCTTGAGCGCGACATGGCGTTTCCCGCGTGTGCTGATAACAAAAGCATCTTCGGCGCCTACATGGCATTTCCCATATGTGTCATGTCTTCTGCTTGCTGCATGGTTCGTTTGTTCTGCTAAGTAGTTTTGTTTTTTGTTATGTAGTGTGTAATTACTCGTCGGAGGCGTGTTGGCGGCGTCAACATGGTGCTTCCCAAACTCCTTTGGATGGCGGTTCCCATAGTCAAAACCTGTTTGTTGAAGGTCTCAATGGTGCTTTGGTTCTTGTCATTGTTTATTTTGTGTGTATTGCTGAATTTGTTTGATGTGTTTGATGGTTGTTCTCGGCAAGAGGAGTGGGAACATATTCTCATTGTTAGTGTTGTCTGTCGCACGTACAGTACTGGTTTGCATAAAAGAGAGGCACGGGGCTTCAAAGGCTACGGTGACGACTTTTAAATATGTGGAGGGCGGCCAAGCAGCAAGTGCTGCAGAGGTAGTGTGAGCAACCTGTTTAAGAATCCGTGTATGTAAAATTTGCATACATGTGTGGAGATTTCCGGGTGTTTAAACGGCAGGCGGCCCCAGCGAAACCTTCACAGAGGTACTAGAGGATTGAATACATGACGCAGTTCTCTGGCACGAGACAAAAGAGAGTGCCATGACTTACCGGATAAGATAGTTCTGCGATTGCCATTGATTGGAGCTGTATTCTCTGTCTTGGAGTTGATACCTGAATCTTCAACTATTAGTATTACTGTTGTTATTGTTTTTTGTTATAGTGTTACATTGTTTGTGCACATGTTATACTGTTATATTGTTATATTGTTATACTGTTGTATTGTTGTATTGTTGTATTGTTATATTGTTATATTGTTAGATTGTTATATTGTTATACGGTTATATTGTTATATTGTTATATTGTTATATTGTTATATTGTTATATTGTTATATTGTTATATTGTTATTGTTACTGTTATTGATACCTTGGTTGTCATTATTATTATCATCAGTACTGCTAGCAGCGTTCTTATCGCAGCTGGAAACTGAGAGCCTTTAAATGCAGCTTAAAGTGCAGGCGTATGTCACGTGACTCGGTGTCGCGAAAATGATGCACTTTCCTGCATATTGGGCACTTGGATGGGTGGGCTTCGTGCGTTCCCCATCGGGATTTGCATTTCGCGGTGTTTCGTCAATGGCGCTCTCGCCTCGGGTGAAGTGTGCGCCTGGCAGTCCCTAAACCCTGAATCCTTAACCCACCCTAAACCCTACACCCTGCGTTCTTGGAGTGCCTCTTAGGGATCATCTTGGAGTGCTGCTGAAGTGGTCTTACGTTGTGTGGGGTCTACGCCGGCATAAGCAACTTTGTAAACAACCTTATCCAATACAAAACAATGTTCTAACTTTTGCATCTTGCATATCGATTCCTTACGTTGCGAGCCTGTGCCAGCGCTGGCTCAGAGAGTGTTGTGGAGCAGTCAGAGGTCACGGACTTTCTGAAGTTTCGTTTCGCTTCGATTTCGGCTCGGCTGCACCAGTGCGCATTCACTTTCTCGTAGCATTTTCTTAAAGGAGAATTCTCAATAACTCCGGCTTTGCAGCGCTCCACAAAGCTGCCTCTGAAACAAAATATTAAAAGAAAGTCAGTGCTGGGCCTTCTTGATTTTCTCTTGGGTTGGTTTTCGGGGCTGGGGTGGCCTTTGGGGTTCCCTTTCTTATCCCATGTTTTCCTAAACAAAATCAGCGCGGTAATAGTCACGATTGTACAGAAAACACTAGGAAGTAAACGAGTTCCCTAGTTCCTAGTAGATTGCGTTTTGATTCTTTTATATAGTGCCCACAGCACTAAAGCACTGTAGCCCGTGGAGAAGTCTTTGCGCACGTCTTTTTCAGCCGACCTCCTGAACAAGTTCGGTTCACCGCCCCGCCACCATGGCTGGCGGTCTCCTCCTACGGGAGTGTTGGCACAAATTCGAGAAGGGGGCTGTGCAGCTTGCGCCAGCGCCAACTCTGACAAGGACGTGATAAAGTTCCTGTGCAAAAGCTGTTTCGGAAGTAATACAAATCTAGGAAAGAAAAGAGACCCCTAGTTCAAACTGGCATTTCAATTCATTAATATACATTCCTATGCATTTTTTCAACGACAAAAAACAAATGAGGAAACCAAGCAGGTCCATAATCCCCTTTGATTCTTTATTGTGATCCCCCTACTGACTTCAGAACCCCCCTAATTCGCTAAGACTAATTATCGGATACTATAGGTACCTCCTAATTCTCCCCTTCTGAAAGTAATCTTACAGGATTTTAGGTTTTCTGTGTTTAGTATTGAATATTAGCAGAGGGGGGCTTATTATTGGGGGAGGTAGTTACTGAATATTAGGGGAAATCGTTGCTGAATTCTGGCAGAGGGTTGAGCTGCTTTCATACAGCTTGCATGGTGCATGGCGCCACCTTTTGCTGGAGGGGGCACAGATGTGACTGATGTAATTTTGTGACAATCCGATTCGGGTCGAGGTTTTCTGTTGGGGCATTGTCTGTTGGGGTCGCACTTGGTCGTGGCGCCTTGCCGGCGCCCAAATCTTGTTTCTGCTATTGCAGATTCCTGAATTGCCAGGCTTCCACCATGTGCTGTCGGTGGGGGCCTTGGTGACTTCTCGCTGAAAACATCGTTGGGGCTCTGTAGCAATCTGGGATGACTGTCTGCAAAAGCCACGCCTTTAATGGGGCCTTCGTTTTCAACTTGTTCTTTTGCAATACCGGAGGCCTTCTGCAGGGGCTCCTGACGAAGGACCCGCTGACGCGATTGGGGCATGCAGACCTTCAACATCATGATTTCTTTAAGGCATGTTGCCACGGCCTGAGATCAAGATTTTTTGAGCAGAAGGTCACATGCATTCCGAGCAGTTTGTGTTCCCTATGTTCCCTAGGTTGGCCAAAGCTCCTGAACAAACAGTACGTCGCGCCACATGCCTAGATCCCACCAGAAGACAAGATAGCAACGCACATAGCAGTGTTTGTTGTTCGCCGAGCTTCAGGCCATGGAAGCCGCCTCCTGAGGCAAGCCCCGTTTCTTCTGCTTCTGTTTGCGAGGCAAAGAAGAGAGGGAGAGAGAGAGGGCCAGAAGTTGATGGCAGAGCCAGGCTGCACAAACGAGGCAGAGGACAGGTGCCGGAGTCTCCTTATGGTTGTGATTTTTTGGGGGTCGTTTGGGTCGTTTGATGAGCCATCCTGACCGAGCATGGAACAAGCGTGCTGCGGTTCCGAATAAACACTCCGTGCCGTGGTACCTGCGTGTCAAGACCGCCGACTTCTGCACGTTTGTCTCTTCCCGCTTGTGTGTTGCTGAGTTTGTCTATCGGCGTCAGGATGCCCATTTGAGCGATCACGTTGGCTTCATCCTGGGCCGTCTTGTCGTCCCGTTTCTGAATGTAACTTGGCAGCACTGTGGTCCTCAAAGATTGGGGCTTGGAGAACGATACGTCGCTCCTCTGAGGTATGCACCTTTATAGTAGCCATCGCGTTCGTAAGAAGCTTGTAGTCGAGCAGCATGCAAGTGCTTTGGCTCCAGGCATGTGGGCTTCCTCGTTTGAGAGGTTGCTGCACTGAGCTATCTGATCTAGTTGTGCAGTACGTGATGAGCGAAGCCGACGACGAGGAGGCAAAGATGGCCAGCAGATTGCTGAAACCGACGTCCCCGGACTTCAGCAAAGCCTGGGTCGCCGAGCAGAAGAAGCGAAAACGGCTTCTTCGAAATCCCTACCTGCTCAAAAAAGGGTTCTGCCACTCGGCTGAATCATTGAAGGGTTCAAGGAGTTTATTGTTTAGGGTGCGATTCCATTTGGTGCGTTGCATGGCGAGCTTGCAACTCTCGGTTACTTCGCTCGGCATGAAAACATCTGTGCAGCGCTGCATGTCGCGGCAGGTTGCGATTGGGCTGCCGCGCTCTTCGCCTCACGCCTGGCAGGAGGTTAAAAAGAAGGCAATGCTTGCGCAGCACCTAACTTGGCTCGCGAAGACTATCATGGGATCACTAACAATACGCACGAAGGAGAGCCGATGCAGCACAGGTGCACGCCACAAGTGCTCAAATGTCTTCAGCAGGCCGCACTAGCGCAGCAAATCGCGTATTACGTCAGCAACAAATTTGGCGATGGTGGCAGAATGTGGCAGATCTGCTCAACGTTGACTCTGTGTAGTTTGGAGGAAAAACCCAACGTGATTTTAACAAGAACTCCATATTATCATCATCGTCGTCATGTTCGACATGAGGCACGACAAATAGGTTCTAAACACGCTCAGCAACACGGTGAAGGGTCATTTTGTCCGCAGTTGTACCACTCTTCACTCAAGACTTGACACTGATAACGGCCTAAGTTCCCAATGAAGTTCTCGAGGATGTTGTTCGGGTTGTTGGTCGCCACCTCGTTGTAGAAGTTCTGGAGGGTTGCTGCGAACGGTTTCGAAGGAGCGATGTCACTCATGGCCTTTGTAAGGGACTGCTCGCGATCTTTACGAGTTCGCTTCGCGCCACCACCAGCCTTGACAAACTTCAACTGCACGACCTTGAAAGAGATGTCTTGTAAGTGGAGAGTGGCTTCCTCTTGATCTGTGAATGCCCTCCCGCTTTCCAAGCTATGCTGAATTCGCAAAGGTCGCCGACAATGATGCCTGTTCATCTCATAGCTCTTCAAGCATTGACGTTTCAATTCCCACGAAGTGAGTGCAGGAGAATACTTTTCGTGGAAGAATAACATGTCGGTCCTTCTGAAGCCGAAGGCATCGTGAATGTGGGCGCTGTTCCTGATGCCCCAGCTCAGCAGCACTAATCATCTATTGACCCCAAGCCTTAAACCACCCAAGACACCATAACTTCTATCGACCCAGGCAAGATACGATTATTGAAGCGCTATTGGGTTAGGCATTGATTTTAGGCGATAAACGTAGGGGGGGGGTACATGGTTTGTATCTATCTTCTGCAGAGGCGTGCCTGCCGCGAACTCCAGCCCCCTTCCGAGGAGCTCAAACCCAGGGTTCGAGAACACTGCAAGAACCTATGCTTCCACACACGTCACACTTTCACCGCATTGTGTTGATTGTTGCGGATTCTGGAGCTCCCAAAGGATCCCGGCAGCGGGAGACTTTGCTTTTTAGAGCATCGCTTTTCAGGCCCTATCTTTGCACATTCGATGCTTCAGACTATCCTTTCTCGAGGTATCTGCGCCGGCTTTGAAACATTTGCCGGTTTGAGAGCAACATTCGCACAGGCATGCCGTGGTTCTTCTTAAGAGGCCCCAACCCCGATCCCTCTGATGCTCACTGACGCTCGCTAATGCTCCTGATCCTCACCCCGCAGTGCTCATGGGTTTGGGCACCAACACCCGGTATTTTGCTCTCGACGTTCTATTGCAGGATGTATTCAATCTCTTTTGTCGATTCCCATTGTTGGGACAGCACTTCTGGATCACCTGGTTCGCGTTTCTGGCAAGCTTTGATGTTTTTTTAAAGGGATTCGGCTGCTTCCAGTCCACGGACGTTCCTCCCAGTCATACGTAGTTTTTGTTTGATGACGCTGCGCAGCCGCCTCCGTCGGTTCCAAGCAGCATTTATTTGCATATGGCACCGAACAGAACTTCATGCTTTCGCATGCTTTCGCATGCCTTCGCATGCTTTCGCAGATTAGTAGAGACTAGGGAGCGCGTTTTGACACAGACAACAGCCATATGGGCGGCCAAAGCCTGTATTTTCCCGAAGCTTCTATGAAGTCGACTTATGGCCTGCTTACAAGCTCGCATGCGATAGAAGATCTCAGCCTGACAGATCGGGCATCGTAGATTGTAGTAACTGTTGTTGCAATGGTGCTACTGCGCATGTTGTTTATGTATGTTTCTGGTAAGTCTTGCTTCGTATTTATCTTGCGGCCCAAAGTGGCAGCATGCCTTGAGGCTTGAGGCACCGAAACCCTGCCATGGGTGAGCACCTTGGGGCGCCCAAGGCGCGGGGGCACGTGGGCTCGGGGGGCTCGGGGGCCGGGGCGGAGCGAAGATGCGTGTTCGCTTGGCATGACTTCGGCTTGCAGGATGAGATTTCGCAGCATTTTGCCAGTTTGGAGATGATGAACAAGGTGCGTCACTTCATCTACGATGACCAAGACACAACCTTCTTCATTGCTCGCGAATTGGTGCGTCTCCTAGCTTCTTCATCAGTTTGTGTCTTGTTTCCCCATGCGTCGCCATGGCAACCATGCCAAGTCTGACAAGAATGCATTGCAGGTGGACAAGGATGATAGCAAGAAGACGGCAAGGCTTCAGAGGTGTGCCCATAAGCAGATAGCAATCCCGAGCATTCCACCATCACCCTTTCCTGAGGAGAAGGAGTACAGCATTATCACGGAGAATGAAGTGGTCTTCTGCAGACAAGCCTGTGTTGCGAGCTTATGAGATCACTTCATCTTCTGGGCATTCGGTGGCTCCAGAAGTGCAGCCATGGCTTTTGCGTGATCGAGGGGTCCGCTTTATTGAAGCGGAGTCCGGCGACGTTTCGAGCCGCTTATGAAGGCACTCTTGAAGAAGGCCGGGACAAGGAACTCGCCCTTCGTTCCTCTGTTTGCAAATCTTGGTCCTTGAATTCACAAGAGGCGCTGTTCCTTCGAACGGCAACTTTGCATCGCACCTGCAGCACGGGACTTAGTTTCTGTGTGGTGTTTGAAGAGCGGTGTTGGGCTACTTTGGGGCGTACGTTTGGTAGTAGGATTGCGTCCAGAAAATTTGGACAATGGAGAGTTTGGTACACGGCTTCTGCAGGAGATGGCGGCCTGTACGTCTACTGCTGCTGGCTTTCCCAATGCAGCCTGGATGCAAATGGTGTCCGAAGACGAGGATCTCTCGATTTGCTTTGTCAGCATGCTCTGTGGCGCTGTGTCCTTTGTCAGCGGGAAGTACTCCAGGTCCTTTTTCGGTAACACCCCTTGCGTTCTGGACTTTCTTGGAGGCCAGCTTTCGATCTTCAGAGAACACCGACTTCAGAACCCGATGGTGCCGCCCTTAGAGTCTGATGACTTGGGCGGTTCAGGATTCAAAATCCTCAGGGCCTTGGGGCTTTGAGCCGAACACGGACTCGGCATCGCGGTTCTACCTGTGCTGCGAGACTCCTGCTAGACTAAACCCCTACGTAGACCCCAAACATCAATAAGCGCAGCCCTAGTGCAAAAAAATGATGCGTGGGTGCGAAGGAGAGCACGTGGTAGCTTTCGATGATGGCCAGCGCAAGTGCACACGACGCTTGTATATGTGTGCGAAGGCTATATAACGATATACATGAAGACATGCAGACATACCCAGATGCATATTGCACAGCCCCAGAGAGCGTGTCAGGTGCCAGCTCTTTCAAGTTGCTGGCAATCAAGTGAACTTGCAGAGACGGAGGGTTCATCTTAGCCTTTCAATCGGTCGTCCAGTCGTCCGGGGGTCAGGTTCCATTGATTTTGCACTCGCTTGTTTGCTTTCTGTTGCTTTCTGCAAGCATCCGTAAGACCACAATGGACAGTTGAGCACGCCGCAGCCGACCAGGGTTCTCAGCAGATTTCCCACTGCGAGATACAGGTTGGTGTTTGCACAAGAGCGCAACCTTGCTTCGGTTTGTGCGAGGTCTGAAAGTTCTGGTGGTGAGGCATGCCAGCAAGCGGAATTCTAGGTTCTAGGTTCAGTGCATCCACAGAACAGATGGATCCGACGCGTGGCTCTTCCGACGTGAATCCTCTCCGGCTGCCCCGACCAATTGTCGGCGAGCGCCCAGCGCCGACGACTCCAATCCCAAAGCGAAGCCCGAAGACTCCCGCTGGAAAGAAGAGGCCCCTACCAGGACAGACTCCAAGCCCTTCACTTTTCTTCGATCTCAAATTGGAGAAGAAAGGCGACAAGGAAGCAGTCAATGCGTTCGCACAGTGCCGCTTTGAATATGGCAGCTTTCTCTGGTTTCTGGACCTGTAATATGACCAGTAGGTAAGCAGGCTGACGCTTTCCCTGGTAACTGAGGGCCTTGACTGGGGCGTCCGATCTGACAGACCACGTCATCTATACCGTCACAGAGATCGACGGCGCGTTCAGATGCTCTCTGCGCATTCCTGCCTGGAGCAACGAAGCATTTGAAGGGGAGGCGGGTACCATTGGAGCTGTGCACATGTCCCCGCTGCACGAACGCTGATAGCCATCAGACCAAGCCTGAGGTGCAGCCAAGTCGGAAGGAAGCGGAGCAGTCCGCCGCCCACGCCTTCAAGATGGATTGGCGCGTGGTGCAGCATGCCAAAAATTTTCCAAAGGGCAGGAAACGACTGGAGAACGACGAATTCAAGGAGAGGATCAGACAGGAGCGTCGCCTTGCTCGCGAAGCGAGCATGGCGAAACATGCCAGGAGCCGGTAGAGTTATAAGACCAGTTGCTTCCTTTGCAGCTCGAAGGCTGCGAGCTCGGTAGGGTTATGTCCGACTCAATAGCGGTAGTCCCAGAAAGCCTCCTCCAAAACCACACTTTAGGAGAACACTAAAGAAAAAGCTAGGAGTTGCAGTTTTGCATGAATACGAAAGGAATCGACTAGGAAGAACTCGGAAACGTAGGAAAACCTAGGAAAAATGAGAACAACGTAGGGCCACAGGGTGAAAAGGGGCCGGGGTTCTATGTCTTACCCTGTTCCCCGATCTTTCTGCTACACCAGGATTTCATATGTCCTACGTCTGTCCTATTTTAAGCCACTTGCGACCGGACTAGAGTTAGCACAAGAGTCAGACATAGCGGTAGGTCGGGTTTTGACGTTGCAAGGTTTGAGCTGCATTTGTCCCGAGACCGCACTGTTTTCCTGGTTGCCATACCCTGTCAGCCCAATTACATCATCATTGGCACTCTGGGCACTTGGGGTGCTGTGTTGACGATGCTTCTTGTAAGATTTCTTTTTCAGACTTCAATGCAGCCCTGCCTTGCACCGTAGCCGGAGAGCTTTAACTTAGCTGCACGGCAGTCCCCCCAGACGCGGGAGACCTTTCTGCTTGGGCCGCTTGCACCCAGTTTGAAGCCACAGCAAGGGTTTTTGAGCAAGCAAGCGCCCCATAAGCAGAAAACGTTCACCAACCAGGTCCAGCTGAATTGTAGGCGCCAGAGAAAACTTGCCATGATGCAGCCTCACATGACTCTTGTTGTTGGGAGTAAAGCAAAGGAATCAATCTCCAAGCACGTTGTGCTGCAGCAGTGTCTGCATTTTGGAAGCAGATGCTCGACGTGGCAGTGTGTAAAGCAGTGTATATGTAAATGTAGCAGCAGCAGCAGTATCATGTAGACCCCTGGAAGCTACACCCTTCTTGTCGAAGGCCTCAACCGTCGGATTCCTGCTACACTATCCGGCATTATCATGCGCTGAAGGGAGGGATTTTGAAAAGGTGGGAGCTTCGAATCAGACTTATGTACGGCCGCTTCGTGATCTTCCGAGCAGCCGTAATCGAGGAAGCAAGAGCGACTGCGTTTCCTCGTTTTCTTCGTCTTCACGCTGGGGCCTCGGGACTCCTCCCTCTGTATGCTGTGCGTACATCTGATACATCATGCGATTAGACGGAAGACTAGAAGAGACTAGAAGCTTGATAGAACCATGCAATTCTGTCTTTACATATAGATATATATGCACACATGAACATGCACACGTACGCAGGGCATGTTCGTGCATAATTACGCAACTCCTGCGGTTAAACTTGCTCACCTGAGTGCATCGTATGAGAGAGTAGTGGCTGGAGATTTGGTGTCCGAGACATGATCATGAGCGTCAGTAGGTGCGACCTGCCCGCTGAAGCACTGTTGTCGAAAAACTCACACGAAGCATCGAGCCCATGGGTAGCGGCGAGCATTGGCGGCGATCGTGCCCGGATCCAGCGCACATCGAAGATTTCTGGGGAGCGTCGAATTCCGAGATTTCAGAGGGCAGCGGTTCCTTGTTATTTGTACCCGTTTCGGGAAAGCGTACATGTTTGAGGAGGTTGAAGACGGCGCACAAAGCACCGAAGCCGTTCAGTCGGCCTATGCCTCAGCTTGCCCCGAGTGTTAGAGTTTCCTAACGACGGTGTGCCCGCAAAAACATGAATGAATCGTGAGGTAGTCGCAGGAAGTGCTCCATCCAAGGCAAGCCGAAAAGAAGTGAACGCCTTTGACCACCCAGATGAGAGGGCCTGCAACTCTGTGGCATTGTGGCATAGCGCAGCCTAGACAGCTCAAAGCACGATGGACATCGAATTTCTCCTTGCGTTGCAGGTTTTTCCTGAGATTTTCGCGTTGAATAAATCAAGGCAGGAGGATCCATGTGAGTACAGATCGCCAGAGGCGACAGAAACAGTAAAGGGACCATGAAAGCCACGCTGCAAGCCAAAACGGGTGGAGGTGGATCCACTGGGGGGCTGCCATGCGCATTGACTACATGTACACACATATGTATGTACTTGATATATGTATGTACATATATATATATATATACACACATACACATGTCCGTATTGTGTTGCAGTGCGGCACACTTGTGTGCGAAGTGGCAACTCATTGCTTTCATCCATCATCGGTCGACTTCGTGGATGTACATGAGTCGATCACTATGCAGCTTGTTGCATTCTGTTGCCATCCCGCTCCTCCTTCCCCAGCCCCACCAGGTGGGCGCTGAAGCGTCCAGCAGCCCCACGCAAGGACTCGGCTTCCTCCGACCCCATGGGGTTTGAAGGATTTCCAAGACTGTTTCAGCCCCATCCGGTCTCTGAAGCCCCACTAAATGTTCCTGAGCAAACCCACCCCACAATACTGAGATAGTGATGTCGGAGTGATCGGTGGCAGTGATAACTTCCAGGGAACAGTGATCCAGGTAGCGGAATACAGCGACGGTGAATGGCTGAAATGGTGTTTGAGATCTCTGCAAGCAGTGATTAGAAATCGTAAACTAGCGATCGTGAACTGCGGAAAGTGAGTTTGTAGTTATTGAGGGCTTGGAGTGACCGGCGGCCTGCATTATTTTGAGTTTGGAGTGATCGGTGACCTGAAATAGTGTGCCCGAAATGTATAGTGATTTGAGAGTGGTCTGCGACCTGAATCTGTAGCACCGCTGCCTTCGTTTTGGAGTCTTGCTTTTGATTTCACAACCCGACAACACACTAGCCTGATGGTGTTTCGGAGCCTGCGGCAGGAAATGCTTCGCCCAGAGCTGCTCGTCTTGGCTTAACTTGACATACTGAGCGGGTTGACACTTCAAGATCGAAGTGGGTCTCACGAGTTCTTCGTGTCCGCCTGTCGTTGAGGGGTTTCCGAGCAGGTTTCGGGAAGGGCCGCCCAAGGCTTCAGCTCGCTAAAGTAAAGGCGTTCCAGCAAGCTTCGCCACTCGGACGCATCGTGATGTTTTCTCGACTGAGGCAAACGATGCTCCGACGATTCAGTCCGGGATCTCGGGCAGGGATGTCCTAATTTTGCATAAGAAGCCGTTGCCAGTCTTGAATGACGATCGTGCGGTGCAGGACCGTCCTAGCTGAGATCACATGCCATGCTGTAGGATCTAGCCAAGAGCATCAGAATCGGCATCATCCTCTGCAAAACTTGGCTTCAGACTGCACAAATACCAGGCCTTACCGTCTTGGTAACGACCTTCCAAGTATTCGTCCGGAGATGGTGTGGGAACGCTTGGCACAAGAAATAGTTGTTCTTCAAGGGGCTAGCATTAACAGCCGTGCCAGCAAGCTTGAAGGCTATGCTTCAGACGTGGAATATCCAGGGAAAGTGAGCTTGACGAGAGTTACCTTCGCAGAGTCACTCCCTCGTTCTCCCAATGATGTGCAGGTTCCAACATCATAGGAACTTCAGTTCTCGATCAGAGCGCAGTGCCAGCTCTTTCAAGTTGCTGGCAATCACGTGAACTTGCAGAGAAGGAGGGTTCATCTTAGCTTTTCAATCGGTCGTCCAGTCGTCCGGGGGCAGGTTCCATTGATTTTGCACTCGTTTGCTTGCGTTCTGTTGCTTTCTGCAAGCATCCGTAAGACCACAATGGACAGAATCACCACAGTGTCCATAAATTTTTGAAGCCAATCTGGGTCAGGGGAGACAAGTTGCTCTGTCAACGCTCGCTGGTCATATTGAAGTCTTTGAGCACGCCGCAGCCAGGGTTCTCAGCAGATTTCCTACTGCGAGATACTGGTTGGTGTTCTTCGGTTTGTGCGAGGTCTGAAAGTTCTGGTGGTGAGGCATGCAAGCGGAATTCTAGGTTCTAGGTTCAGTGCATCCACAGAACAGATGGATCCGACGCGTGGCTCTTCCGAAGTGAATCCTCTCCGGCTGCCCCGACAAATTGTCGGCGAGCACCCAGCACCGACGACTCCAATCCCAAAGCGAAGCCCGAAGACTCCCGCTGGAAAGAAGAGGCCCCCACCAGGACAGACTCCAAGCCGTTCACTTTTCTTCGATCTCAAATTGGCGAAGAAAGGCGACAAGGAAGCAGTCAATGCATTCGCACAGTGCCGCTTTGAAATCGCCAGCTTCCTCTGGTTGGATGCACGTGAGCCTGTCAGTCTGAAGCGGCACATAAACAGAGTCCAAGTCCAAGCCAGCGAGTTTGCTTTTGCTGCCGTTCTTGGCGATGCATCCGTCGAGGTCTGGGGCGATCCTCGCACGGGTGGTGACAGGAGTGCTGCACAGGACCAGCTCAAGGATGTGCAGCAGATCCAAGCCTCTGCTGGCGCTTTTGCTGCCATTCTTGGCGATGGATCGGTTGTGACTTGGGGCGAACCTCTCTGTGGTGGTGACAGCAGAGCTGTCCAGGACCAGCTGAAGAATGTACAGCAGATCCAAGCTAGTCGTTATGCTTTTGCTGCCATTCTTAGCGACGGATCGGTTGTGACCTGGGGCTGTGCTCACGTTGGTGGTGACAGTAGAGCTGTGCAGGACCAGCTGAAAAATGTACAGCAGATCCAAGCCAGCTGCAATGCTTTTGCTGCCATTCGTGGCGATGGATCGGTTGTGACTTGGGGCGAGGCTACATGTGGGGGGGACAGTAGTGCTGTGCAGTGTCAGTTGTTGAATGTACAGCAGATCCAAGCCTCTGTTGGCGCTTTTGCAGCCATCCTGTGCGATGGATCAACGTTGACTTGGGGCGACGCTGACTTCGGTGGTGACAGCCATGATGTGAAGGATCAGTTGAAGAACGTGCAGCAGATCCAAGCCTCGTTCCATTCTTTTGCTGCTATTCTTGGTGACGGATCTGTCGTGACCTGGGGTCGGGCTCCCCAACAACTGAATCTGAAGAATGTGCACGAGATCCAAGCCAGCCACTTTGCTTTCGCTGCCATTACTGGCGACGGATCGGTTGTGACCTGGGGCGATCCTCACATGGGTGGTGACAGCAGAGCTGTTCAGGACCAGCTGAAGAATGTACAGCAGATCCAAGCCAGCTGGTATGCTTTTGCTGCCATTCTTGGCGACGGATCGGTCGTGACTTGGGGCCACGCTTCTTTTGGTGGTGACAGTAGAGATGTGCAGGATCAGCTGAAGAGCGTCCGACAGATCCAAGCCACTCGCTGGGCTTTTGCTGCCCTCCTTGGCGATGGATCGGTTGTGACTTGGGGCCACGCTCACCATGGTGGTGACAGTAGTGCTGTGCAGTGTCAGTTGCTGAATGTACAGCAGATCCAAGCTGGTCGCTATGCTTTTGCAGCCATCCTGTGCGATGGATCAGTAGTGACTTGGGGCAAAGAGCAGGATTCCGAGGAGGAGGAGGAGGATTCCGAGGAGGAGGAGGATTCCGAGGAGGAGGAGGAGTGAGTGCAATGGGCAGAAGACGAGAAAAGCACGTCCGAGATTACCAACCTGATCCGCGATCCCTGAAGCCCGAAATCCGAAACCCTAGACCTGAAACCTGTAGTCTCTAAACACCCAAGCCCGAAACCTTTAACCAGAAGCCTTTCAGGTTCCTCCGAGAAGACCTGGCGGAAGACCTTTCCAGCTGACTTTCGAGGCCCTGGAAAGTGAAGGGTCGCACGGGTTGAGACTTCAGGTGCAGGATGTGCAGGGCAGCAGGGGGTTTCAGGGCCATCTCTGAGGAGACCTTGGAAAGTCCCGATCCCTGCATCTGGGACGTCGCGAGCACAACAGCCCAAGCCTTAAAGCATCAATCTAGCCCGCAAGTCTCAAAGCCTGTTCTTCATGCTTGTCTTAGCAGCGAGGTGAAGTTCGAGGAACGTGCGCCATCGATCTTGGGTGGCCGCGGACCGGCTGCAGGTCCTGCGAAATTTCAGGGATTACGGTTGAAAGATTAGGGTTCAGGCTTCGAGCTGTGGGGTTCGTGGGGAGTAGATCATCAGAAACTTTGATAGCGCTGGTAGAAGTTCTACGAATACCGTAGTCTCTGAGATGCTGAACAGTGAACAGACCCCAGAGGCTCGCGTCTGTAAAGGTACTACCAGGCAAACAGCAACCAAGAAGTTGAATTTGGCCAGTTGCGACATAGGTACAGTACAGAAAGAGCAGCCCATAGCAGTAAGGGTTTTCTGAGTCTTGATGCCCCTCGGCTGTACCTTCGGCTAAATGGGCCAGGTGGAGATCGTGAATGGCGGGCCGGGTTGGTGGCCGACTCAACCACGCATGTGTGATCTTGGATCCTACAAATCCTCAGGCTGTGAGCAGCAGTGCCGCGTTCTGGCAAAAATCAGGAGATCGAGTAGTCAGCGTCATTCAGCGTCATCGGTACCTTGCCACTACCACATCCTGCAAGTGGACCAGAAGCACGTGAAGACAGGAATCACAGTGAATGACTAGGCATGCTCTTCTAATTGCACCCACAGCATCCGGAAGACTTGGACATGTTGTTTCAGGTGAAGCAGGTGCCAGCATTGCGGCGGATGCTAAACATCGCCTGGGACCTAGCGTCTGCGACTGCAAAGTTTGACGTCTCGTAACACACAGCTCCGCTCTAGGTAACAGAGCTTTGCATCGGAAACGAAGGTGTCATGTGCAGAACCCCGCCCTTCGAAGGTAAGCACCTGTGGGCGCTGGCTTTGGTATCAACCGCACGAAGACTCTGCGTCAGTGCTGCTGACGAAGCGGGGTCGTTCTTCCCTCAGCCAGGTCGGGAAAACATAAGCCGCTGGATCTGCACGAGTCCGAGCTGAGGTTTCATCCGTTGGGGCCGTGGCCAGGGGGTGCGGCCAGGCGGGCAGATTCTCGGAGATGGACAGCTCCGGGTCACGCTGTCTCGGGCCTCTTTCCTTGAGGGGCGGTGCGAGCCTACCTGGGCAAAGCACAGCCCTGAGCCGCGGGTGCAAAGCTCTCTTCAGCTGTTTCCTTGTGATCTCCGAGGTTCTTGTCATCACGTTTTGGACCTCGGTTCTCCGGGTTGAAGCATCGATGATCTCGCTTGGATTGCTGCTGATCTTCAGTGCGGGGCCCTGCTTTTAGCCAAAGCCCCTTCGATGGTATGCACGGACACCTTCTGGCACCGATTGTTGACAATGGCGGAGGCATGCTGGTGCTGATTCTACTTCTTAGCTATGCCTGGGCACAGCGCCCTCGAAGGGACTGCGGAACGACCGTCCGGCAACACTTTAAAGTCAAGGACAGCCCCGCATGCCAGCGCGGGGAAACGTGTAGGCAGAGCCTCGCGCGAGCTCCAGACTCTAGCGGAGACGTCTGCAGCCATCGAGTTCCTTCCGCTGCCCGGATCTTGCGCCGCACTGCTTTTGGCATGGGCAGGAGCTTTGCGTTAGCATCTACACTCGCGTTGACGAGGCCGTGCCTGTGCTAGCCAATTAGCCTCCGTTAGTTGGGGCCTCAAGTCAGCTGCGAAACCTCGCAGGGGAGAAGAATGGGACAAATCTGTGCTCGACGGCAGCCTGGGCACTTGCAACTCTGCTTTAGTCGCTCGATGCAGTTGAGGTCGATCATTCGTTTGCTGATCGGCGTTTGAGACGATTGGCGGCAAGCTCAGGCCGTTTCTACCCAAAGCCGGAGATATTGACCGAACGGCTCCCACCTGGTGCTCCCGGCTGCAGTGGGGTGCAACCTGTTCCAGGCCACCTTCACAGCAGCTGTCTCAGCAGCAAAAGCCTTCAGCTTGCTCCTACCGTGCAGAACTGCCAGCGGCGCTCGCTGGCGAGACTCGTCAGGCGGGGCCCGAAGGCTTTGTGCACCCCAAGATTTGCAAGCTGATGCAGCAAGGTGCAGAAAAACAACATCGAGCAGGCTCCACGGCTGCATGAGAGCATGGCTGGTTCGCAGTTGGATTGCATGAGGAAGGTGGTGTCAAGAACGCCTTCTTGGCCCGCCTTGCAGTGGTGCTGGTGGTGCTTTCGCTCATCGGTGCGATATGTGTTTCTCGGCTCAGTTGACACGGCGTGCGTTGTCTGCACCTGCGCAGTGGCCATCCCGAGGATTACACGTCTTTCTTGGACAAAGTCCTCAAGAAGGCCCAGAAGAAAGATCTCCACTTCCCAGAGAGCCCAATGCCAATACCCCTTGATTGCAGAATATGCCCTAAAATGGGTGTGAGATCAATGCCGACGTTTTTTTTTTTTATGAATTCTCAGGTTCACGGTTGCGGCTCTCTTGGTCTCTTGGGCAAAGTCAGACATCTGGCGGGTGCGTTTCCACCTGCTGACTACACCAAAGGCCCGGTGTTTTTGTTGTTGAAGAGGGCGACGACTGTTGAGTCAACTTTCTGTCGAAAGGCGGTTTCAGCAGCAATGGCGACTCTTGCGATTCTGTGTTAGGTCCCATTGACCATTAATTGCAGCGAACTCAGCGGCAGGCCTCGACTTCGCGTTGTTGCCAGTTTGATTGTGGATGACACGGATTGCTGACTCAAAGGCACTGGAAGGGGAGAGGCGTTCACGAACGGCGCCACGAGTGCTCTTCACGTGCGACTGGAGTGCAAAGCTTTGGATGGTTTGGCTGATTCGACAGAAAGGGTTACCTATGTCGATCCGTACGATGGCCAGGTGCACAGTGCATGCAGACGACTACGAGAGCAATGCATGGAAAACCTACCAGCAGAAGTGGTCTGAGCAGGTGCACACCCGCTTCCTCATTCAGAAGGACCTGACGGTTTGGTCCATGCCTTTGGACCAGACCAGCCGCTTCTGGCACAAGGCGAGAGCCACTAACAATGATTCATACCAACATTGAACTACTGTTTTTCTTTTGGTATATGCTTGTACTAAATAGTAGTATTTCAATAATGAGAATATGACTGTGCCTTAGTAGTTGTATAAGGAAAACGTATGTTAGTACAAATAGTGTTCATAGTAATCGCAATAGCAACCGTAAAAGTAATAGGAACAATACGGGGTAATAGTAATAGTGATAGTAATCATAGTGTTAATGCGATTAATGATTTATTTGGCCTTGCTACTCAATCATCTTTCTTACAAACGCCGCTCATCTCATTCAACGATGCCGGTTCCTCGTATGTAGTAAACACAGGCCCCTCATTGGGCATTTGGCGAATCCACTTCATCATCTATCTCAAACACGCTCCCTCGTTTGGCGATTCTGCTTCCCCAAAATCTTCAATGTGCCCCCTTGTTTGACGATGCTGTTCTCTCATAAATCCTAAACACGACCCCTATCTTAAAAACGCCCCCTCATTGGCTATTCCGGTTTATTCAAAACGCCTCCTCATTTGGCTTTTCCGGTTTATCGTATGTCTTAAACACGCCCCCTCATTAGGCCACACTACTTCATCGTCTGTCTTAAACAAGCCCCCTCAGTTGCCGATGCCGGTTCAACATTTTTCTCAAACGCGTGCCCTCATTTGGCGATGCCGGTTCATCATGTATCTTAAGGCATTTGGCAATGCGACGTCATCATCTGAAACACGCCCCTTCGTGTCGCGATTCCGGTTCAAATCTATCTTAAACACACCCGCTCATTCGGCGATGCCGGTTCCCCATATATCTTAACACTCCCCCCACATGTGGCGTTTCTGCTTCAACATATTTCTTCAACACGCCCCCTCATTTGGTGATGCTACGTCCTTGTCTATCGTAAACACAGCCCCACATTTGGCGTTTCTGGTTCATCACATATCTTACACGCGCCCCCCCTCATTTGGCGATTCCACTTCAACATCTATCTTAAGCACGCCCCGTCATTTGGGATGCCGGTCCCATGTGTCCTCAACACCCGTCCCATTTGGCGATTCCGGTTCTTCATATATCTTAAACATGCCCCCTCATTTGTATTCTTCAACGCGCCCTCTCATTTGGCGATTCCAGTTCAACATCTATCTTAAGCACGCCCTCATTTGGCGATGCCGGTGCCCCATGCATCCTCAACACACGTCCCATTTGGCGATTCCTTTTCATCATAAGTCTTAAACACGCCTCCTCGTTTGGCATTTGGCGAAGCTACTTCATCATCTAACTTAAACACTCATTTGGCGACTCCGGCTCGAAATATATCTTTGACACGCCCCCCCCCCCATTTAGCGATGCTACCTCATCATCATCTCTAAACACGCCCCCTCCTTTGGCCGTGCCACTTCATCATCTATCTTCGACGCGCCTCCTCAGTTGGCGGTTCCGGTTCAACATCTGCTTTGAACACGCATCCACATTTTGTCTTTCCGGTTCAACATATATCTTAACAAGCACCCTCATTTGGCGATTCATGTTCAGCACATATGGCATATATCTTTCACACGCCCACTCATTTGGCATTTGGCAATGCTACTTCATCATCTATCTTAATCACACCCCCTGGTTGGGCGATGCTACTTCATCATTTATCAGAAAACGCGGCCCCTCATTGGCGATGCGCGTTCAACGTTTTGTTGTAAACACGCCCGCCCACATTTGGCGATGTCGGTTCCTCATATTATGTCTTAAACACGACTCCTCATGTGGCGATTCCTTGTCAAGATATGTCCTAAGCACCCCCCCTCATGTGGCGATTCCGTTTTTTCGAAAATCTTACACACGCCCCCTCAGTTGGCGCTGCCGGTTCCCCATATATCTTCAACCCCCTCCCCATTTGGCGATTCCGATTCAAGATATATCTCAAATACGCCCCGTCATTTGGCGATGCTACTTGGTCATCAATTTTAAACGCGCCCCCTCATTTGGCGAATCAACATATATCTGAATTATGCCCCCTCATTTCGCGATGCTACTTCATCATCTTTTTTTTTTAACACGGCCTCTCATTTGGCGATGCCGGTTCCGTCATCATCTTTCTTAACCGCGCCCCCTCGTTTGGCGATTCCGGTTCTCCACTCCATATTCGTAAATGCACCCCTCATTCGGCGATTCCGTTTCAACATATATGTTAAAAAGCCCCCCTCATTTGGCGATGCCACGTCATCATATATCTCAAACACGGCGATGCTACTTCGTCATCTATCTGAAGCACGGCCCCTCGTTTGGCCATTCCGGTTCACAATATACCTTAAACACGCCACCTCATTTGGAGATTGCTGTTCAAGACATATCTTCGACACGCCCACTCTTTTGGCGATGCCGGTTCCCCATATATCTCAAACGCCCTTCCCCATTTGGTGACTTGCGATGCTGCTTCATCATCTATCTTAAACACGCCCCTTCGTGTCGCGATTCCCGTACCCCATAGTCTTAAACGCGCCTTCTCATTTGGCGATTCCGGTTCAACATCTATTTTAAACGCGCCGCGATGCTACTTCATCATCTTGTTTTAACACGACCTCTCATTTAGCGATTCCGGCTAATCGTATATCTGAAACTCGGCCCCTCATTTGGCGATTGCGGTTCAACATATATCTTAAACACACAGGCTCATTTGGCGACTGCCCAATATTCTTCAACGCATCCCCTCATTTAACGATGCCGGTTTCTCAGATATCTTAGACACCACCCCTCATTTGGCGATTCCGGTTCAAGATATATGTTGAACACGCCCCCTCATTTGGAGATTCCGGTTTATCGAACATGTTGCGCATTACACACGCCCCCCTCATTTGGCCATGCTACGTACCATCTATTTAAAACACGCCCCCTCGTTTGGCGATGCCGGTTCCCCATATTCTTAAACACGCCTCCCCCCCCTCATTTGTCGATGCTATTTCATCATCTATCTTAAACACGCCCCCATGGACAGCTTCATCATCTATCTCAAACACGGCCCCTCGTTTGGCGATTCCGCTTCCCCATGGGAAGAAAGTTGGAAGTCACAAGTGAGACAGAATAGAAGTCACAAGACACACAACATAGAAGTCACAAGTGACCCTCTACCGTCTGCGGGGTTGAGCCCTAGAGGTTTATCCGACGTGTCTCATTCAACATGTCTCTGAAAATCGGCGATCCTATCTCCGCATCGAGTCTTTGGACCTTGAGGTCAAGCCTAGGGTTTTATCTGCGAGCCCTGTCCTATGAACCTCAGTCCCCCAGAGATTTATCCAGATAGGTTTTTGGCCTGACCCTGAGCTCCAGGACAAACCTCTATATTAATTACATGGGGGCCCTGGAAGATTCTAAAGAACCATTCAGCCCCCACATGGGGGCCCTGAAGGATTCGAAAGAATCCTTCAGCCCCACACGGGGGCCCTGAAGGATTCTAAAGAATCCTTCAGCCCCCTGGGCTGGCACGAGCTTGAGGTCCAAATCTCGGTGTGTTTGGCGTGGTAATCGGAGGTCAACTACAAAGGGAACATCGGGATGCCTACAGACTTACACTGCGGCTTGACTATTCAGACGGTTGCATGCCTGTCGCTGGCCTCGACAGAGTTGTTGAGGCTATGTTCGGTCAACAGATCCCTTCCATGAAGGTGCCCAGACTGGAATGCCTGTTTGTAGCCTTCTGCATGCACATGGTTTTTCCCGGGCTTGCGCAAGGACGGATACGACATCGTCAATGCACAGGCGTTCCTGGCATCGTTCACCGGCTGTCCGACATGACAACCTGCCATGGTTGCATTGAGCGACCACTCTTCACCTGTCTCAAAGAGCCATCGGCGCTCTGCATGGTCCGCACCTCAAAGACAAGTAGCAGAGTAGAAAGGACGAGCTAGCCATCCTGATCCCGAAAGAGCAAACTGCGGTTGCATGTCCAGGTCCTGAGTCACCTCACACTGATTGGTTTGGGATACGTGGCACAGCGCGTTGTAGCGTGAAGGCACATCTGTAGTTTCGGGGTATGGAGTACTGGAGCACTGTTCTGTGGCGGGTTCAACACATGTACCACTCCACATTGCACCGCGGCTGTGTCGCCTCGAACGACGGGAGCTTCTCGCTCAGCCCCCGTGCACGCGCCCGGAGCTCAGCAAGGACCGTTCCAAGGAAGCGGTTCCCGTGCAAGCTCTCTTGGGGTCTCGTTCAGGCTGTGCAGGTTTCGGAGGGCTTCTTGTTTCGGGGGGATTTCTGCTTGCTTAACCTGTGCGACCTTTTGCGAGGTACCGCTTAGGACACTCCCCCTTTGCTTCCGAGGTTCTGCTATGATCTCCAGTGTTGTGCTAGCATCTTCATAAAACCTGAAAGGGGTCTTGATAACACCAAAGACTCCCGCTAGAATCAGAACTCCTCAACGGGACCCCCTAGCGGCAATGTAGACCACTCAGGTGGGTTCTTCTGTCGCAATTCACGGGTGCAGAGTCTCGGGCGATGACCGGTGGTGCCGAGGACACACTCATCCCTGAATCTGAAGCCTTGACCGAAGAGCCCACAAGCCGTTTTGCATCCAGGTGATTGGCGTCAATGCCCCTATCGTCAGAGATCTAGATCTTAAAATTGGTTGCGAGTTCAGGATTTGAAGGTGGAGGGTTTCGGATTGATGGAGGTTTCAGGCCGTCTGTGCACCCCGCGCAATGAAATTTAGATGTCCACGATGCTCCCCCTAGTGCTGCTGTAGCCGTGCTGGTGAAACCGTGTGCACGACATAAGCAAGAAGATCACTGGCATGAGCAATGCTGTAAAAACTACGGGCTCTGCCAATTGCAACAACTTTACAAATCGCGTCGTTTATGAGTGCTTTCGGACATCTCATGACAAATCCGTGAATAAGCATATCAGATGGTACCACTGGAACTGGCTGTTTCTTGCTCGCAATGCCTAGCAGACAGTGGTTCCCGGAAATTTTGGGGCGCCAGGCTCCCATCTCCAGAGACTGCCCGGTTTGGGGTACAGGGTCCATGTTTCAGCATCTAGGATTTTAGCGAAACCTCCTGGCAGGAAAGCTTAACTCCAAAGCCGAAAGAAATCCAACAAGGAGAATCCCGAAACAAACCACCCATAGCAGGATGAATTGACTGCGGCCTCTTGGCTAAGGAGTTGTTTCGAGCTTTGGGGGGAGGGGGCGCGGTGTAGGTTCGGGGTCTTGCGGCTTAGCACTATCGAAACTGAGGATTTCGTCGGGCTCGCGCCTTGGAGTTGATCCAGGGTTGAGGTTTCAAGGGTTTGGGCTTTTGAAGTTGAAGTTAGGATTTGGGGCGCAGCCTTTCGAGATGATCTCCGTCCAAAAAAGCGTACACAGGTGAGGAGTTCGTAAGGGTCTAGAGGTTTTGAACGCAGCTTGTTCAGGGCTGTATGGCTGCGGCTCTGAAGTTTCAGCAGCTGTGGTCTTCTGGGTTGCGTCTGGAGCGCCACTCAAGCCCAAACCCGGGCCGCCGCTTGCAGAGCTTTGGAGTAGTTTGGCTTGGGATGATCACAAGCGTTTGAAACACCCGTGTCTGAAGCTCTTCCAGCTGCAGTCTGTCAAACGCTCAGACTTTTCTAAGCTTTGTAGGCCCTGTACACCCCAAAGCACCAGACGCCATCAAAAAGATCAGGCCCAAGCACGCAATGCCAGACGCGCGCGGCGTCGGGCCGCAAAGCGTGCGGAGGCACTGGCATGGGGAGCTCGTGGCATAAGTCTCTCCGGTTGAGGCGAGCACAGGCAAGAGAGTGCGAGAGACGGTGGGAGACAGAGAAACAGTGTGAAGAAAGCAGAGTTAGAGACGTCTTATGCTCCAACAGCAAACCTCGGAGTCGTGTAACGTAACCTCTGGACTGGACCAGAACTTATCTAGCCCGGACTTCCGGCCCCAAAGCCTGAATTTGGAAGCACCCAAATCCTAGATCTTCGGAAAACACCAAGATCCTGGAGTCTAGCCCTGCAACTTCAGTCTGGTTTCTGGGTTTCTTTAAGATTTAGGAGCTTGGGGACTCAAGTGCTGTCGGGCTTCAGGCCCTCCGGCACAAGAGCCCCATAATTGTAGCGTGCCCTCTGTCTTTGCGTGGTTTATGCCTTTCCGTAGCCAAAGTCCACAGAGGAGCAGCCTCCTCCCCATCCGTGCAGAGCTCAGCTGCGCAGCTCCCTGTCGTTTGCCGGGTTATTGTCGTTGTGCTCAGGGCGACCACAGGGAAAGGAAAGTCCACAGAGGAGCAGCCTCCTCCCCATCCGTGCAGAGCTCAGCTGGGCAGCTCCCAATCGTTTGCCGGGTTATTGGCGTTGTGCTCAGGGCGACCAAAGGAAAAGGAAAGTCCACAGAGGAGCAGCCTCCTTCCGATCCGTGCAGAGCTCAGCTGGGCAGCTCCCTATCTATCGTTTGCCGGGTTATTGTCGTTGGGCTCAGGGCGACCAAAGGGAAAGGAAAGTCCACAGAGGAGCAGCCTCCTTCCCATCCGTGCAGAGCTCAGCTGGGCAGCTTCCTATCGTTTGCCGGGTTATTGGCGTTGTGCTCAGGGCGACCAAAGGAAAAGGAAAGTCCACAGAGGAGCAGCCTCCTTCCCATCCGTGCAGAGCTCAGCTGGGCAGCTTCCTATCGTTTGCCGGGTTATTGGCGTTGTGCTCAGGGCGACCAAAGGAAAAGGAAAGTCCACAGAGGAGCAGCCTCCTTCCCATCCGTGCAGAGCTCAGCTGGGCAGCTCCCTATCGTTTGCCGGGTTATTGTCGTTGTGCTCAGGGCGACCACAGGGAAAGGAAAGTCCACAGAGGAGCAGCCTCCTCCCCATCCGTGCAGAGCTCAGCTGCGCAGCTCCCTATCGTTTGCCGGGTTATTGTCGTTGTGCTCAGGGCCACCAAAGGGAAAAGAAAGTCCACAGAGGAGCAGCCTCCTCCCCATCCGTGCAGAGCTCAGCTGCGCAGCTCCCTTTCGTCCGCCGGGTTATTGTCATTGTGCTCAGGGCGACTAAAGGGAAAAGAAAGTCCACAGAGGAGCAGCCTCCTCCCCATCCGTGCAGAGCTCAGCTGCGCAGCTCCCTTTCGTCCGCCGGGTTATTGTCATTGTGCTCAGGGCCACCAAAGGAAAAGGAAAGTCCACAGAGGAGCAGCCTCCTTCCCATCCGTGCAGAGCTCAGCTGGGCAGCTTCCAATCGTTTGCCGGGTTATTGGCGTTGTGCTCAGGGCGACCAAAGGAAAAGGAAAGTCCACAGAGGAGCAGCCTCCTCCCCATCCGTGCAGAGCTCAGCTGGGCAGCTTCCTATCGTTTGCCGGTTTATTGTCGTTGTGCTCAGGGCGACCAAAGGAAAAGGAAAGTCCACAGAGGAGCAGCCTCCTCCCCATCCGTGCAGAGCTCAGCTCGGCAGCTCCCTATCGTTTGCCGGGTTATTGTCGTTGTGCTCAGGGCGACCAAAGGGAAAGGCAAGGGAGAACCGAAGAGCACAGCAAAAGGGCAAGGCAAGGCACAGGCAAGGCCCATCGTGTGCATGTTCTGCACGCTCCCAGGCAACGATTATCACTGATCACTATCACCAACAGCTGGCGCACACTACTTGGTCGCAGGTGAACCATGGCAACCCTGGCAACTTCGTACTCAGGACAAGTGGAGCGTGCTTACACCTGAGTTTTCTTTGGCTTTCCGTAGGAATGCACATGTAGCTCGCCAACCCGAAGACGGCAACTGTTTATACCATTCGCTTTGCTTTGGTGCGCCGCGGCATGTTGTTTTCGTTTTGCAGATTTTGCAGATTTGACTGTGCTGGAGTTGTTGTGTCGACATGCACCAGGTTTACCTGACAGCGATGCCCAAAGTTTACGTCTGGAGCCCAGAATAGCTTTGCAGAGGAGCGCACTCCGATCAGAAGGTATCGAGATTCGCCTATGCTCAAAGTGATGGGTGCACAGCGGCGGCTGAGCCGTGATCCCGCTGAGCGCACTGCCCTCACTCGTCAGGTTCTTGCAGTAAGGCAGCTCGAAAGGGACGTGTGGCACAAAGATTTCGTTGCTGATGCTGCGAAGAAGGATCACGCGGCCTGCAAGATTCTCAAACAGAACCGGTCTAATGAGAAGGGGCATCGCTTTGATGAGGCTTTTCGTGCTTACTCTGGACGTCTAAACTTCGCCGAAGCAGTTCAAGATTTCTTTATCAGCCGATTTCAAGCACAAATGGTTACACCATCACAGTTGCCGGTTTCTGATGGGGACATTGACGATATACCGATGGCGGTCCCCTTTTCCCGCGAAGAGGTTTGAGAAGGGCTACTTCACATGAAACTTAACAAATCCTCCGGTACGTCTGGCGTGTCGGTTGAGTTTCTTCGAGCGCTACTTCACCACGAAGAAGGGCTACAACTCATTATTGTTCATTTAAACACGGTACTTCTCCAAGGAGCTTCGGTGCCAGAGCATCGCATTACTGTTCTGGCGTTACTGCCTAAACTTCGTGATGTATGTGAACCAAAAGACCTACGACCAATTGCACTGATGGAATGCACTCACAAGCTGTACATGTCACACCTTATCAGGCGCATACAATCAACGACAATGCATGCTGTCTTGGCGCAGTTTCTACCACGTTTCCTCATGCTACATGGCGACTTATTCGTGGTGCAACTGCTATGTCCTACTGCTCTCGTATCATTGCATGGCGCGCTCTGCGCATGATTATGCACACACACACACAATTCACAGCAGCTGCCTCAACTCCACATAGAAGCAATCCCAGATGAGTGGGCAATGCATGTGAGGTCCTTGTAGTCGTTTCGGTAGTCCCATTTCGCTAGTCCCATTTCGGTAGTCCCATTTGCCGCATTCCATTTCATTGTAGATACACGCGCATAGCGAAATCGCTATGTCTTGCGTCGCGGCTGACAGGTGACAGGTGATTGAGTCCGTGCGAGAGAGAGCGAGCGAGAGGGAGAGAGAGAGAGAGAGAGAGAGAGCGAGAGAGAGAGAGAGAGAGAGAGAGAGAGAGAGAGAGGGAGGGGGGAGAGGGGGAGAGGAGCACACGGCAAAGCAGGCGGGGGCGTTTTTGTTTCCGAGGTTGCGAACTAGCGCAATTCCTGCGAGATCACCCCCTGGTGACAATTGCGGGCAATACATTGCAGGATTGAGTAGCGGTTCGCTCAAAGAATTGAAAAAGTCACAAGCTCTGCCGCACTGTCTGCGAGGAGTGGATCCAGTACGACTCCGGCCTCTCCATCCATGCGTGAGCTGACTAGACATCTAGCCCTCTTGAGCTCTTGCTTCCAGACTGTCCGAGCACAGTAGTCCGTAGTTGTCGTTGTGTTCCTGTTTATGTTCTGAACTTGACTTCTGCTCAAGGATCGGCAATGTCACCTTGCAGGTTGAAATACAGGGAACCGTGCGTACCTGTAGGAATCCTAGTGTCATGTTGCCTTCGTCATTTTCTTTCTGTCGGGCGTTTCCAGGTACGCCAGTCGCCAGAGCAATTCTGGTCATTGGGGCGGCGGCATCGAGATGGTCAGCGCCCCGTGTCACTGCACAAGGAGGTCTTATTCTTCGACGTTTTGTCTTCTCTCCTGCACCCAGGCTTGTTGTTCGCTGCTAAAGAACGTGAATATCCACGTTTACGAAAGAGTCAGCAGGCCTCTCCGCTAGGACTCGTACCGTTAACGCCATGTCATGCCGTGTCCATCCAAGTCCTGAAGACTAGCAGCCTAGCATTTGATTCTTAGAGTCCCAGCTTTCCTAGGTCCTGGTGTGGTCGCGACTTGAAGCGCATCTCGTGCTTTAATGCACCCAGACAGGCCAGCGACCCATGCCATGCTGCACTGCACACGGTTTGGTGCTGCGAGTTGACAGGGCAATGTAGCTAAGGACCAATTCGTTCGCACTGTCCATGCCGGTAGCCTACCAGGGTCCTAACCGAGCTGCCTCCAGAAAGCTTTGTTTTGCAGCTGCGCCACATCGAGGTCCTCTACAGAGGAGGGTTGCACTATGACGCCGTGCGGGCCCCCTGATCTGACTCGAACCTTCAAGAGGTTCTTCACGCTTGTTTCACCTACAATGCCGTACTGTAGTCAGCCGAGCATTAACCCAAGATGTTTGGCGACATTGAGCCCCGGCAGGAGCTTGCCAAAGAAGCTTGCTCTATTTCCTAGTACAATAGCAGGTGTATGGTTCGTTGATGGGTTTGGCCCGCGCACCCACGCCCAAAACCCTGAGCCCTAAACAGGCGAACCCGGATCGTCCCCATGGTAGCTTTGTGATCTCCAAGACTGACGAAAGCTGCCCCTCGGCAGAATAGGGTTGGAACCTCTAGCATGGTGTACCTCTATTTGCATGCGTTGCTGTTGCTGCTGCTGCTGCTGCAGCTTCCGCTGTCTCTGCCGCTGCTGCCAGTGCTTCTACCCGAACCCCCCAAACCCTAAATCCAAACCAGCCAAGATCGCTAAGACTTAGATTCATATGACGCATTGCTCAAAGAGGTGTTTCCGGGCCGTGAAACGACGGCCTGAAAACACTTTTGCAGAATTCGATGTGCGGTCCTTTGTGAGAGCCGCATGGGACGAGTGAAAGCAGTAGTCCCAACCTCGAACTCCCTGCGCACCCTTCACGAGGGGTTCCGACTGCCTCTGATGCTCAATCTGCCACTTCTCTGCTGCCCCTTCCCGCGAAAGCCTTCTTCACAAATGTGTCCAACATCGGGCTTTAGCCCTTAGCCTGATATCAAGAGTGACAAGAATCACCATAGCAGTAGTATGAAAAGCGTGCCAGACTTAGTGTCGAGGGTCTAGAGTCTAGACTACGTACTCGTATGCGTAGTCTGACAGCTGGGGCTCTTGAAGTTTGACAAGTGACTGTGCAGAGCAGCTGGTAGATTCCCTTGTAGTGGACATGTTGGGTTGATCGCAGAACGGAGGCGTTTGATTCCGGAAGGATGTGAGCATCCGTGAACTGAGAAGTGAAATCACAAGTTTCAATGTTTCTTTGTCGTCGGCTGTCGGCCTACACTGTGAGGCGGCACCCGACCGCCTTTGAGGGCATGCTCCGCTTCGGATGGCTCGTTCCAGCCTGATCTCTTCCCGGAAGGAGACTTCCAGGAGACCACCGCGAGATCGCCAGTTAAAAGATCCACATCCCACCGGAGCACCAGCAAAACCCCACCGCCCCGAAGTAACTTAAAGATAGCCTTCGACCCCTATTGCAGGAGAATTTCTTGGGAAGTTATCCTTCAACCACTTTCGCAGCCCTGGAAGGAAGATCAAGGTTGTGGGCACGGCATGAATGCCCACCAAAATCAGGTAGTTAGTTGTTTTGACTTTATCATGCTTTCTCGTTCTGCGCGTGCCGCATACCCCTCCATACCTCCACTTGAAATATAAGCAACGGACAGGCGGTCTGCGACTGCACGAATCGTTTGCTTGCTGTGGCAGGGATTGTGCTCAAGTCCGTCGCAGCTAACTTGGCAAAACACGATGTCTAGTCAAGTCTAGTCTCCCAAAGGCGCAACTGTCCTGTGATGTTCGGTTGTTGTAAAAATGCCCCTATTTTGCATGCTGATGTCGTTGCTGCCATCCGACTGGAGGCCCTGTCCTAGGCATACTCTTCTAATTGCACCCACAGCATCCGGAAGACTTGGACATGTTGTTTCAGGTGAAGCAGGTGCCAGCATTCCGGCGAATACGACACATCGCCTGGGACCTAGCATCTGCGACTGCAAAAGTTTGACGTCTCGTAACACACGGCTCCGCTCTAGGTAAACAGAAGTGTGCATCCGAAACGAAGCGGCGCTCGCTGGCGAGACTCGTCAGGTGGGGCCCGAAGGCTTTGTCGATGGTTCTGCACCCCAAGATCTGCAAGCTGATGCAGCAAGGTGCAGAAAAAGAACATCGAGCAGGCTCCACGGCTGCATGAGAGCATGGCTGGTTCGCAGTTGGATTGCGTGAGGAAGGAGGTGTCAAGAACGCCTTCTTGGCCCGCCTTGCAGTGGTGGTGGTGCAGTCGCTCATCGGTGCGATATGTGTTTCTCGGCTCAGTTGACACGGCGTGCGTTGTCTGCACCTGCGCAGTGGCCATCCGGAGGATTACACGTCTTTCTTGGACAAAGTCCTCAAGAAGGCCCACAAGAAAGATCTCCACTTCCCAGAGAGCCCAATGCCAATACCCCTTGATTGCAGAATATGCCCTAAAATGGGTGTGAGATCAATGCCGACTTTTTTTTTTATGAATTCTCAGTTTCACGGTTGCGGCTCTCTTGGTCTCTTGGGCAAAGTCAGACATCTGGCAGGTGCGTTTCCACCTGCTGACTACACCAAAGGCCCGGTGTTTTTGTTGTGGAAGAGCGAAAATCTTCGCGGATCAGTGGGCGATTACTGTTGAGTCAACTTTCTGTCGAAAGGCGGTTGCAACAGCAATGGCGACTCTTGCGATTCTGTGTTACGTCCCACCGACCATTGCAGCGACCTCAGCGGCAGGCCTCGACTTCGCATTGTTGCCAGTTCGATTGTGGATGACACGGATTGCTGACTCATAGGCACTGGGAGGGCTGAGCGGTCACTTGTGCAAAGATTTGCCCGTTCGCTTGTGCAAAGAGTTGGGCGGTCGCTTGTACGCGCGGAGGTGCGTTTTGTATTGGCGGGGCCAATGAATTCGGAGTTCGTTACTTGTAACTTCGCTATGTTGGGGAGGCTTGAAAGTGCACGAAACGTCGGCAGGGCCGTGGTTTCCGGCTTTGGGCGTGCACGCTCGAAATCGCGCTTTTTGGCTCCGAAGTTGTTAAAGTGCTGGCAGGGCCGCAGGATTCGGCTTCGCCGCGTCGTTCTTCAGCCCCTTTTTTCAAGCATTTGAAAGCAAACCATCGACTCCAAACCTCGACGGGGGTGGCGGTTTTGTATCATGCCGCATTCATTCGAAACGATGTTGGTCATTCGCGGATGGCGGAAAGAAAGCGCGTTTCGCAAGCCCACTCGTGCACCATGCATTTTTCTTCCGTCGGAACCCCTCCAAAACGTGCTTTTGGAGCCCGCAAAAGTGCGTTTTGGAGGTCAGTCCAGACTTTGTGCTTTGCGGGAGGCAGCAGTGTGGCGTGTCCAACGCGAGGTCTCGGCTACTGGCCAGGCCAAGCCAAGCTTGTTCATGTGGAACCCAGCACGAGCGAGTCAGTTCGGACATTCCAAAACCTGCTTTTCCAGGCTGCAAAAGCACAATTCGGCGGTCCGTTCAGAGTTTGTGCTTTGCAGGATCCGAGCGCGCTTTGGTGCACAGGTCACAGGAAGGGGCTTCGCCGTTTCGGTTCTTAGGCTCTGGTTTTCAAGCACTTGAGGGCAAACAAGCGACTCGACGCCTCGACGGGGGCGGTGGTTTTGCTGCATGCGGGCAAGCAAGCGACTCGAAACCTCGACGGGGGCGGCGGTTTTGCTGCGTGCCGTATGCATTCCAAACGATGTTGGTTCTTCCAGATCGTCGAAACAAACCGTGTTTTGCGTTCCTATTCCTGCACGTGGAGGTTTCAGGCGAAGTCCTCTTGCTTTCTTGCTTGACAGTAGGAACGAAGCCTTTAGGGCAGCCTAAGCAAAGTTTGCGAAGGTCAGGAGGTTTCCCTCCATTTGCCTGAAGCTTTTGCGTGTACTGTTCATGTGTCAACAAGCAGCTCCACTTCTCCGCTGTCAGCTCTCGCGGAAGCTTCGCTTCTCTTCGCACGTCGGGGGCCTCCACCGAGCAATATGCAGCACCGCCCGTCTACATCCGGCCCGGCAGCTTCCAACCTGTGCGGCCAGATGACCAGACTGACCGCACCTTGGCCGACCTCCTTGGCGAGCCGACGCCAGCCGAACACCTTAGGGTGGCAGTCGACGGCGACGACTACTCGCACCGGGCCATCATGACGGACCAGCTCGACCCCGTCCTTAGCATGAGCGAGCAGGACCGCCGCAGACGCTGGCTCGAGCTGGAACCCGAGATCAGGAAGAGCCTCCGCCAGCTACACGTGCAGTTCGGGCACCCTACCAACACGACTCTCCAGCGGATCCTCAGGTGCCAAAGCCGTGGCAATCCGGGGGGTCGACTACATGTCGTGCGATGCCTGCGGAGAAACAATGAGGAGGAAGCGCCCCAAGCCCGTGAGACTCCCTAAGAAGTACGAGTTCAACTCCCACATCCAGGCCGACGTTCTCTACAACAAGGACGCGAGAGGGCAGCTCTATACCTTCCTCAGTGTGGTTTGTGACGCCACGGGCTTCCAAGTGGTCTCTTGCATGGGCCAGTCCCAGGGACCACCTGCCACCAAGGCCGTCTTGAGGCACTTCCTCACTTCATGGTCTTCCTGGGCCGGCCTCCCGAGCAGCCTCCAGGTGGACCGCGGCCAGGAATTCATGGCACACTTCGCCGACTACTTGAAGACCTTTGGTGTTGAGCAAGAAGCCATGCCTTTGGAGGCGCCTTGGAAAGGAGGCAAGGTGGAGCGTGCCGGTGGACTTTGGAAAGAAGTTTTCCAGAAGACGGTCATTGAGATGCACCGGCCTCCAGGATATGATCGTTGCTGCCTCCATTGTGACCCAGACAAGGAACTCTTTTCCCCGGGCCTCCGGATACTCACCCAACCAGTGGGTCCTTGGGAAGCCCGAGATACGCCTGCCAGGCAGCCTTCTCACCGAGCCCGACGAGGCTGAGAGACTTGAGGTTCTGGAGGTTGCCGAGGACCCGACCTCCATGATGGCAAAGAACCTGGGCATCCGCGAGGCCGCCAAATTGCGCAAGTTCGCCTAGACACGGACGGCCGGGTGAGACGGGCCCTCCTTCGACAAAGCACTCCAGCCCGTGGGCCCTTATTTGTGGGAAGCTACGTCTATTTCTACCGGGCCCAGGCACCACAGGAGCAGGCAGAGTGTACCGATGGCACAGGCCGGCCAGGGTCATTGGCGTTGAGCTTCGCAATCCACGCCGCCTTGAGGACCCAGAACCTCCTACACATGGCGGCCAACCTCACTCCTACTGGCTTCGATATGGAGCAAGTGTCATCCTGGTGACCGGCGAGCAGCTGCGCTTTGCGAGTGAAGACGAGCTCTTGGCTGCCCACTCTGTTCCCCAGGAGCTCCTCGCGCCACCTTATGCCAGAGGTGCTCGGGACTACCTTGATATCCCGGCTCAACCTGTGGTAATACCCGGCCCTGACGTGACGGAAGAGCCGGAAGCGACAAGAAGGAGGATAACATCAGCTCCTCCGGTGCCGCCTTCCTCCCTGCTGGTGCCTGGAACTGAAATACCTGTTCTACCCGAGCTGCTTCCTCCCGTACCTGAAGAAGACGACGGTGGACTACTTGACGGGCTAGGTCAAGGACGCGAAGTTCAGCCAGAACCACCGCAGAACCTCAGGACGGGCGAAGGGGGCACGGCAGGTCAGCAGCAGGACCAGCAACAAGGAGGCGAAGTTCACCCAGAACCAGCGCAGAACCTCAGGACGGGCGAAGGGGTCACTGATATGCAACGGCAGCAGTCACAGATGTCAACAGAACCAGAGCCACAGCCGACACCACACCTTGGTCCACAAGTGCCTCAGGGACCGGCTTCTTCGTCTACAGCTACGGTGCCGACTCCTTTTCACAACCCGGACCGGCTTGACGACTACACTCCGGTGCGCTCACGTGGTTCGCGGCTGCCCTTTGAGAACCCCTACCTGGCCGAGGACTTTGCGTGGAGCGAGCCCCCGCTCACCCAGACAGTGCGGGAGCTCCGTTTGAAGAGGATGGTGAACGGGACCGAGTGACCGAGGAGTACGAGATCGACACCGAGGAGGACACCGAGGAGGAGCCAGACCTTCTCGCTCAAGGACCTTACGCCGGAGCAGCGAGAGGAGTACCAGCACTCCATGGAGAAGGAATGGAGGTTCTGGGAGAAGTTCAACGCAGTGGAAGTCTTGACCCAGGAGCAGATCCTCAACTTGCCCAAGGACGTGCGGGTGATCGGCACCAGGTGGGTTCACACTGACAAGAACCAGAAGCAACGCCTCCTCGCTTTGCACCTTCGCTCCAAGACTGGCAAGACCAAGGAGCAGATCCTCAAGAAGTACCCCCTCTCGGCCAAGAGCCGGCTGGTGGTACAAGGGCACCAAGAAGATCCAAAGGACATCCGCTCCGACAGCCCGACAGCTTCCCTGCTGGCCTTTAACTTGGTGTGCGCTGTGGCCGTGATCCAAGGATGGGAGGTACTCGCCAGTGACGCCTCGACGGCTTACCTGCAGTCGCAAGGGATCAGCGGGCTACTGGTGCTGCGACCGCCACGACCTCCACCTCCGGGCCTCGGACCCAACGATCTCCTCAGAGCAAAGGGGTCTATCTATGGGACCCGGGACGCCGGGAGAGCTTGGTGGAAGAAGCTCTACAAAACGCTTCGCAAGCATGGGTGGCGCATGAGCGCTATCGAGGCAGCCCTTTTCCTTCTTTGTGATGGTGACAAGCTCCTCGGGATCCTTATCTCCCACGTCGACGACCTCTTCAGTGCCGGAGAGAGCAAGGCATACGAGGCAACCCTAAAGGAGATGGAGACCGAGCTTCACCTTACCATAAAGAGGGGAAGCTTTCGCTTCTGCGGGAAGAACATCCTGCAAAAGGGCGGCGAGATCTTCATCGATCAGATGGACGCCATCGAGGGGATCGACTACATGCTCCTGCCCAACGACCGCCGCAAGGCCGTGAACAGCCTCCTGACCGAGAGCGAGAAGAGTGCCTTCCGAGGGCTCATCGGCCAGATGGGCTGGGTGGTCAGGCAAAGCAGGCCCGACCTGATGGTCAACGTGAGCCTCGCAGCCCAGTCAATGGGGGCCCCGCGTGTGTCCGACGTGGTCCGACTCAACAAGGCGGTCAAGATGCTGAAGGATTCCTCCGGAGCAAAGTGGTGCTTCAGGAAGGGCGGCCTCTCCCTCAACGAGGCCATTGCCTTCACCTTCGCCGACAGCAGCTTCGCGAACCTCGAAGGGGCTAAGAGCCAGTGCGGGTTTGTCACCGGGCTAACCAGCAAGGAGATCTACGAGAACGGCCCGACCCGGATCTATATCCTCGAGGCCTTCTCTGGGAGCATCAAGAGGGTGTGCCGCAGCACACTTGCTGCTGAAGCAAATGGCTTCTTGACGGGAGCCGAAGCGGCGGAGTATCTGAGGATGCTCTTGATGGAGCTGGTCCACCCTTCGACCTCCATCCGCGACCTCGACCAGCACTACCTCAAGGAGAAGGTCGCCTGCTTCACGGACGCCCGGAGCTTGGAGCAGACCCTGAACAAGGACGCCGGTCAGCCAGCAGACAAACGTGTGAGGATCCTCGTGGCCCAGATCCGCGAGATGATCGGGGAGAACACCTTCCAAGACGACGCCCCAGGCTACGCTACCTGGGTGGAGACCTCCCAAATGCTGGCAGACGTTTTAACAAAGGAGGGCTGTGATCGTGATGCTCTCCTCTCTGCCCTCGCCGAAGGTGAATGGCAGCTTGAAGCCAAGCCTGCCGCAAAGGAGAAGAAACTCCTGATCCAGGCGGGCACGCATGCTAGAAAAGCCGCCTCCAGACAAGCCGAGGACGGGTGTAAATCGTGAGCCTTAGCAGAAGCGCAGGGGCACACGTGATCGCTGACGCCGTTGCTGCGGCTCGACTGGAGGGCGCCCTTATAGTGAGAAAAGGATTGCTACCTCGCTTCCCCCGCGCCGCCGTGGGGATTCTGAAATTGTGACTTGGTAAACTTGCGCGCGATATTCGCGAAGGCCATGAGGACATGTTGATGGACGCGACTGGCGAGCATACTGCTTGCATGACTCGCCTTCCCAGTTAAAGATCCGAGATCGAATTGAGGCTGAGGGGGTTCTCCTCCCCAATCCCCGTCTCGTGGCCCTGTCGGGCTGCCGACATTAAATTTCAAAAGCCTTTCGGCTGTTTTGATGCGTTGACGGGCAGGGCAAGATTTCACCGGTTCCAAGCGGCAGGGAGAGGAGGTTTCAGCGCGAGCAGGAGACTCCGTCGAGCGAAGCAGGAAAAGGGCAAGCCAAGGCCACGGGCAGCAAAAGTCAAATCGCGCCTACCTGGACAGCTCTGGGTGCAAACAGGGACTTTCCGGAAGAGATTCCACGCTCTCGTTGTTAAAGCATGCGTGTTCGATCTTTTGGACGGAATGTAGCTTTCTCTCAAATTGAAAACGTCATCAGATAAAAGCGCGCTCAAGGCGGGCTTGTCGCTCAAGTTGGTTCCTTCTGCCCTGATGTCGCACACTGCCTTTTGCATGTAACGCCAATCCACAACCCAGCCATAATGAGACGGAGTTTTTGTGAGCAGCAGTGGCAGTCGCACGAGGCGCCAGCAGTCCACTTCCACTATGAATCATGAATCCCGCACATGCCTTTGATTGGAAACCCTCCTGGGTAAAGCCATCTCGCCTGCAAATGCAAAGGCCGTGTTTGCAAAGATGTGTGCATGCTCTCCTCACCCCATCCCCGATACGGCCCCTTGGCCTGCTCAAGTCGTCGAGTCGTCCACCTCCGAGTGCGGTACGTGGGCACCCCTTGTAGTGCGTCAGGTGCGACACAAGGTATCTGGCACAGAACGATAGTTGTAGAGTGGCCCATCGGGAGCTGGCGGCTGAGCTGAGGGGTCGCTTCCGAGTGTGCGCTTGCGTCCTTCCATCTTTGCAAGGCTCGGAGTATGATGATGGCGGCATAGCATAGTCAGCAGAGTTTCGGCCCGCGGCTTGGTGCTTCCTGGATTCTGCCACGCGTGCTGGGAGTAGAGGAGCGAGGGCAACACTCCGTGAAAAATGCATTCGGGATGCACTGCCGCGCATTGGCGATGCAGGCTGCCAGGCCAGAGCGTGATATCCTTCGATGCAGCCAGGCTTTATTTCTGGAGTTCCTAGCTGCCCCAGGTAGCGCGTCTGCAGCTGCTTGATGCTCCTGGTGCTGGTGGCGAGCCAGGACCTCCGGCGAGTTGCCGAACACCGCAATATATGAGCATTTTCTTCAAAAATGATATTCATAGGTGCAGCAAGGCTGAACACCCTGTTGCTGGTTGCAGTTGGAATTGTTACCGGCGGCGGGTATGAGAAGTATGTGAACGGTGAAGGCGGCACTTGTGAGATACCACGGCATGGCAGTCTTCCCACTGTCTGCACTGAACCTTCAACTCTCAGTACTAAGTATGTTGACTCGTGGAGCATTGCATATGGGGAGATGGCAGCAGTGCAGCCAGCACCATTACTGCAGGACAGCAGACCGAAGAGCAGGAAGAGGCCTGCCCACAGCGTTTCAATCATAGTCAGTTGGGTCTGCAACTTACGGAGGCGGTGGTTCGTGTAAGTTTCGTAACTGTTAACAGACCCTGAAACAACAACACCCAGTGCATTAAAAACGGGGCCGAAACTTACGATGCCGGACCTGCTAAAGGGCATGTGTGTTGGAAAGAGCAGCTTCTGACAGCGGATCTTCCCGGGCTTTCAAACGGCGCACATACATGTTGGTTTGGCTTTTTGCACGAAGACGAAGGATGCAATTGCTTCTACGCTTGAAGTAGTGGCGCAATGCCATAACAAGATGCTTCTGATGAATGTGTGTCGTACAGGTTGAGTGCGACAGTTCTGAAAGTAACTAAGCTGACAGCAAGCATCCTGTCAACAAGCGTGCCGACGACGCAAAAGCCATCAAATCAGCAAGCGGTGCAACGCCGTGTCTTGGACAAGAACGTGTAACATCCCCGGCGAAAGCAAAGAAGCCACGATCTTGAGTTGAAGTCAAGAGATTGCAGGAAGTCCGAAGGCAAAAGACAGGGGCTACCGTCATCCTGGGGTTTTCCAAACTGGAGGGTCCCTTACTGCCGAGTCCTAACAGCAAGGAGCTAACTGTTAGAGTGTCTTTTCGGCTTGCGTGATTTCGGCAGGCTTTCGTTTGCTTGTTGCAGCAAACATGGCTTCTTTATGAAAAGAACCGGCGGAATGTGCCCCGTGATGCAGACACAGTGGCAGAGCAGCATCGGACAGCTTCGAAGAAGACCGGGAGGCAGGTCACATTGGCCAAATCTGCAGCGTTCATGACTTCATAAGCGAGGAGTACCGTGCTTGCAGAAACATCATACCGCGTTACCGGACATCTCCGTGTGCAGGACGTTTTCCCGCCGGAATCCAGGCCTGTGGCGGTGAGACCGCCAGCCGGATCAGGAGCTGGGTGCAGGTGCCTCTGAATTGACGATGCCGATGATGCGGATGGTCATGGTGGTGATGAGGAGTGGCACCACGATGATTATGATTCCGATGATGGTCGTTCGGCGATGCTGTTGGAGATGGCATGTTGCGGTTGTTGTTGCGACAGCAACTCGAACGGTTCAAGCTTGGAAGGACTGGCAGCAGCTTGCAAGCGCCGTCTGGTAAACACAGGCGAGCGGTACTGCTGCAGCGCAATGCCTTGCATCTTATGTTTGGACTCGGAAGAATTTCTTGGTGGTCAATCGCCTTGGGGCTGCAGCATTGCAACCCGAAGTCCTGTAGGCCTGATGGAGCGACACGAGCAGCAAAGCGCCGCCGTCGAGGTGGGCCTTGTCTTTGCTTCGTTGAATAGCGGTTGGCGAAACTCATTCAGAGAATATAGGGGCCTCAATAATTAGCATAAGGTTTGGGGGCCCATTATATGTTATGTTGTTATTTAGGCCCCTATATTCTTGTGCCTGGATGTTTTGCTTTTCCGAGGCTGCCGTCGATCGACGGCCGTGCGCAAAGCCGCGTGCCCTGCCGTCGTTCTAGCACCATCTCGACTCCGTCGTGTTCCAAGGTCTCTAGCTTGCCAGTTGGACCCGAGCAAGGCTGGACCGCTTTCAACAGCACCACTTTTCAAGCCTCCTCAGAAACTTCTGGCTGCAGGTGGCAGATGAGACCAAGCGGGTGCTGCGCTTGAAATACCATAGGCAGGTTGCTGGTCACATTCCACAGCTCAGGCTGTGTTGTCAAGATTTGGACGTCGAGTCTGCACCCGCACAGGGTCATCAGCCCTCCGACTGTGTACCTGAACTACAAGAGGCGCAAGTGATCGCAAGCAGTTGATCAGATCTGTTTTTAAGACTCCCACTCGGCGGACTTCGGCAGGGCAGCCGTGGACATCGACTTGCAGGGCAAGGTGGAAGGGATTCCGATTGTTCCGACTTGCCATTGCTTTTGGAGTCTCGATCGAGCTCCGTCTTGTTGCAGGAGGTCCGACTCCACACAGATCCTGTTCTCCAGGTCCCTCTTGCATCTTTTTGGCTGGGTTCCAGCATGACGGCCAGGTACACTAGCTTTCGGAGTTGAGATGCGATGAGTTCACTGTGTTGTGTCATCGATGTGAGTGGGCAGGAGGGGCGGTTCGTGCGGCAACGAGCCCGAGAGCCACACTTGCCTCCAGCTACAACCCAAGTCCGCCGAGCCCGTGGGTTTTGCCTGACAAGTTTCGCAGTGTAGGATTGAACACTTGCTTGTATCAAGTGCTGTACCTTTGGTCTCCGGAAGCGTCAAGCCCGCGTTCTTCAATGAGGCCCCGAGAGGAACTCATGGCTTTCTTCCAGCCTCAGGCCTGGTTTTGGCTCTCCCTAAGCTTGGCCACTCTAACTTGATGTCTTCAGCAGTTTCAGGGTGTTTCAGGTTCTCTTCTCAGCGTGTAGCTAGAGGCCGTGCGTTTCCTTGACTCGATTGGGGCACCCCACTCGGCCACCGCAGTTGGGGGGAAGCGCACACCGCTTCCAGCTCCTTTCTTGTTTTGGAGACGCATAGCTGTTGAGGTTCGGGGACAGGTTATCGGTTTTTTAGGGTCGTGGGTGGGTGTTGTATAACAAGTTCCGCGGTGTAGGATTGAAAACTTGCTTGTATGAAGTGCTGTACTTCCGGTCTCCGGAAGCATCAAGCCCGCCTGCTTCAATGAGGCCCCGGACAGGAAATCATGGCTTTCTTCCAGCCTCAGGGCTGTGCTCTGGCTTGATGTCTTCAGCAGTTTCAGGGTGTTTCAGGTTCTCTTCTCAGCGTGTAGCTAGAGGCCGTGCGTTTACTTGACTCGATTGGGGCACCCCACTCGGCCACCGCAGTTGGGGGGAAGCGCACACCGCTTCCAGCTCCTTTCTTGTTTTGGAGACGCATAGCTGTTGAGGTTCGGGGACAGGTTATCGGTCTTTTAGGGTCGTGGGTGGGTGTTGTATGACAAGTTCCGCGGTGTAGGATTGAAAACTTGCTTGTAGCAACTGCAGGGCACAACGTGGTTTCAATCAGATTGATCGCTTTGGTGGCGACGACGCTGCAGCCTCAGGCCTTGCCAGACCGCACTTTCGGTTCCAAGTTGTCGCTCATTCTCTTGGAGGCCCATATAGAAAATCTGCTGCGGATGCTGGCCATGACTATTTTCATGTGTTCGGTAAGCGCAAGGGTGGGAATCTGCTGATCAGACGGACGCAAGCCCACGCAAACATGACGGTATGTGGTCTGGTGGGTTAGTACAGACACGGCTGTGAGCGCCAGTGCGTGCGTATAGAAGCTTACATGTTTAATTAAGAGTGGGAAGACGTCCGCTGATTTGACGGGGGTCTCCCTGAACACAAGCCCGTGTGGATAGGCCAGTCTGTGTTGGCATATGCTAATGATGGCCTCCCAAGGCATCTATTGGGCAGATACGTCTGTCAGTGCAAGTGCGCGTGTGTAGGATGCTATTCGCGAAGGCAGCGGTGGGAATGAATCCGCTGATCCGATGCGGAAGGTTCATTGCGTTGAGTTTTAGGTTTACTTTTGTGGGGTTTAGCTCTTCTCAGCGTTTATATAAACACAAAGCCAAATAAAGACAAATAAAAACAAATGAAGACAAATCAAGACAAATAGAGACAAATAGAGACAAGTGAAGGCAAATAAAGACTGTAAACAACTTTTAACAATTTTCGAAAATTTTTACACTCCTTTTCAACACTTCTAAATACAGGAAAAGCATTAAAATTCAAATAAAGCCAAATAGAGCCAATTAAAAGCTTTCAAAGGCAGATTTGACTTTTAAAGACAAACAAAAACTTTTAACAAACAAATCCAGGCTTTTCACAAATTAGACAAGTAAACACATAAGCCGGGTGCGAGGAACCGCCAGCAGACAGGTGCAATTGCGCAGCAAATGTAAGTGTTTGTGTAGGAAAAACCATAAAGCAACCAGTGTTTGTGCAGGAAAAAACATAAAGTAACCGCTTGCTTTATGCGTTTTCCGTAGAAAACCCACATGTCTACAGGTGCATTTGTACCGCTAATGTAAGTGTTTGTGTAGGAAAAACCATAAAGCAACCACTTGCTTTATGCGTTTCTCCATGGAAAACCGACATGTCTTTAGGAACCACCAGCAGACAGGTGCATTTGTGCAGCAAATGTAGGTGTTTGTGTAGGAAAAGCCACAAAGCAACCGCTTGCTTTGTGCGTTTTTCCATAGAAAACCCACATGTCTATAGGAACCACCAACAGACAGGTGTATTGGTCAGCAAATGTAAAGTGTTTGTGTAGGAAAAACCATAAAGCAACCACATGTCTACAGGAACCGCCAACAGACAGGTGCATTTGTACGACAAATGCAAGTGTTTGTGTAGGAAACCGCTTGCTTTCTGCGTTTCTCCATAGAAAACCGACATGTCTATAGGAATCATCAACAGACAGAGGCATTTGTACAGCAAATAAATGTAAGTGTTTGTGTAGGAAAACCATAAAGCAACCTCTTGCTTTATGCGTTTTTCTATAGAAAACCGACATGTCTATAGAAACCACCAACAGACAGGTGCATTTGTACCGCAAATGATGTAAGTGTTTGTGTTATCCTGCTGTACATGCGATGTTCTGCATTTCATGAGGATATTTCATGTGTACTTTCCTTTTCTTGAAACATTTTACTGTTTTCTCGCAGGGGGCACGGCGCCACAGTTCGAGCCGTGCCAACGAAGCTGAGAATTGTGGTGGATGCACTCAAGGACGCTTGAGTGTGTACCTGCAAAAAGCTGGGGCCCCCGAGCCAGCGAGATTAGCAAAACTGTTTCTTTCGAACAAGGCAGGTTTGCAGGTTTGATCATGTTTTTGCTTGTTCTGAAACTTTGTACGGTTGCCGCAATCTGTTTGAGCATATCCATGAGAGCATATGCACTGGACGATCATGCACCCAATCAGCGACTTTATGTCGCCCTCAACATCAAGAAGGCAAGGCAGAGTTAAGTCTTCCAAGTTGTGTTCGACAACGGCTCCTTCATGAGGGCCTTGTCGCTTTACGGCGAAATATGCCGGCCCACTGGGGTGCTTGTGTTAGCAGGTCTGGAGATCTGGTAGGATTGCGACACATGTTCAAGTGGAGATCACAGTGGAAATCAACGGTCATGTTTGGAAATCAGCTTTTGGAGATCAAAGTGGAGATCATAGTGGAGATCGTTTGTACAGAGTTGTTTGTTTGGTTCGTTTTGCCATGGACCGAGAACGTAACCCCCGCCGTTCTCATTGGAGCTCCACAGTTCCACAGCCGCCAGCCAGCTGGCGACATCCTGCTCCCGCAATGCAGCAGTCTCAGGTACGTCCGACCATCATGCAACCACAGCATTTGTCGTGGAATCCGAACCCCCGAGCAGCTCAGATTATGAACATTCCTTTGGCTCCCCGTATTCCGGGACTTTCAGCCTCCCCACGTACCACAGCACCTGCCGGTCAAAGCAGTCCGGCACAATCCAAGGTCTTTGGACCCATGCTACCGGCCGAGTTTTGTCAGAATCCGAATTATTTGGATTCTCGGACCATTGCTGGTCTGAATTTGGCACGTTGGGTCAAAAAGAGTGAGTGGTCTGTCAGGAAGCAGATCGAAGGATGCCCATCGCATATGATCCCACTCCATTCAGTCTTGTATCAAGGCTGGAATTCATATTGGATTCGTCATGTTGCTGAGGGAAACCCGACATTCTTTGCAGGCTTTCGATCGTTGGCCGAAGTCGTATTCTGCCATGCCTTTGTCGGCAAGCTACGCCATGAGGATGTTGACTTGGATGAACTTGCTCGTATTGTACATGGATCGACCGGCAACATGACAGGGGGCAGTCCCTCGGACGTGAAGGTTCAGGCCACACAGATGCTTGCTCCAAAAGTCGTTGAGTTCATGCTGGGTCTGTACCCACAGGATACAGTGGATCCAGAGAAAGTTGCTATGGCAAATCAAATTCAGTTGCTTCAACAGCAGCTGGCCAGTTTTGATAAAGCCTCCGGAAGACTCCCGCCTCTAGTTCACGTGATGGTTCCACTGGACTACCAATTGCAGCCGGTTCTCCGGAGCTGGGCCCATCTACATTGAAGGGCCCTGATGGATCTACACGTTTGCTCCGCGGCCCACCGGATGAGCCCAAAGGATCTCTTATGCAGGCCTTCCAAAAAGGCAAGCCGTCCGAAAGCAACACGGAGCCACTCGGAGGTATTGATACCAGACTTGAGTCTCATGCCGCTGGATCAGGTGAACAGAAGTTGGAGTATGGAACGGCTTCGCATGTTACACAGGTCGTTCACAATGTGGACGACGCCAAGAAAGGCTTTCTCACACGCTATTGGAAGACTTGCAAGTCCGACAAAGAAGTGACCGCGTAGATTGATGGTCTGACCTTGAGTAAGGCCAACCGCACGAAGTTGGCAACTTGGACATCCCATGTCCAAAAATGGCATTCAGCTTCCTGCCACTGAGCAGGCGACTCTCGATCAGGTTATTGCCAACTGGGGCGTCCCGATAAGGGATGTCGCCAAGCTTAAAGCAGGCTCTCTATTGCGCATCTTGGCTGTCGGCACAATACTGGTGGCTTGACTACAGACTGTTCTGGACGAGAAAGAGAGGTTTCGAAGCTGCCATCAGCCACATGGATGGTGGCATAAGCGCCGAAGTGACGTGAACTTGCTTCGGAATGCGTATTTATTTTTCCAAGGCATCTTCGAAACCCCTTCCATGTTCGGACAGGTGTGGATGGATATCGTTATTTGGGTCCGTGGCAAGTTACTTTTGTCGGCCTGTGAGTTCGGGCTTGTGCAGTTGCCTTTGATCTCACAGCTTCGCCTCAAGTGTTCCAGTTAGACATGGCAGTTTTTCAAAACCAAGTCGGTTATCTATTGTCGCATTTTTCTCCAGCCCGAGATGAAGCAGTTTATGTATATCGGGTCTTCTTCACAATCTTTAGGCGAACGTGAGCGCACTCGCTGGGGAAAGTTCAAACGGATTCGTGCAGGCAAGTCGGTATGTGGAGAGCTCAGTCTTTGTTGGCATCATCGTCGGTCCAATTATCACATGGAAATTCCTTTGCTGATCATGCATGTTACATGTTCCTCAAATTGACTGCCTTCACACCATCGAGCAGACTTTCATCAATCTGCTCAACCTCGTCTCAACGCACCATGGGTCCGGCTGGTGAAGGCCAAGCATGCTCATATTGCCAATACTGATCCGGTCAGGTGTGTCCGCAGGTTTGTTACATCCTGGAGGGCTTTTCGGCGTTTTCGACGTCGCAATCTTCGGCTTACAGGATTAACACCGTCGGTTTTTCGATCTGTACACGTGGTGCAATCGATTGTGTATTGCGACCAGATTCTGTTTGATCTGGCGTCGGATGGCGTGAAATCCTTCCTCGCTCATCGCTCAGAAGTATCTCCGCAGCAATCGGGTTGATTCGGATGTACTGTACAGATTGTTTCGCATGGCCACCCACCTGGGCGACCCGTTTTATGAAACGATCTGTAGATCGAGACTGAATGCGGTCATGCAGTTTCGGCAGCTCAAATGCCACGGCACCTGCCGTCCATTGTCCACTCCGTTCTTGCTTCCAGAAGACGGCTGTAAGAAGTTGGTTCGTGGCATGCTAGGAGACATATTGGATGTCTCTGCTGAGCGATTATTGCCTTACCATATCCCGACCACTGCTCTTGTGGCAAAGAGCCGTCCCAAGATCAAGGACGTGCTTTTCTCTTATCGGTCGGTTTTACAACAGTGGGACCCGCATGCATGTTGATCCGTTCACTGCCGGGGTTGTTTGCCAACGCTCTGAAGTTCTTCGTCGTCATCCGCATTTGACGGTGGTACAAGGCCATGTTGCATCGTCCACCACCCTGCTGACCTTGCCAGAAACACTTGCTCAGCTTTCCATGTCCAGTTGCGGTAATACAGTGTTCACGACAGCGACAGATCATTGGAAGAGGTTCCTGGATGACGTCAAGCAGTGGATCTCTCATCATGAACTTGTGAATTACCCGACAAATGAGATACGGCAAGTGTGGCAGAAAGGTTGGGGGTTGCATTTGCAGCACATTGATTAACACTGGACAGTTGACCTCGTGCGTGAG